CATCTTTCATTGAAGAAGGTTCGACAAGTCTTATGTTAAACTTACTGACAAAGTTTGTTATACTATAATGCTTCGGCGGCGAATACATATAGTTTGAAAGACATAATATAGATTCTTCAGCAAATTCACTTATACTGGATTTTATAACAATGTTCTCACGAGACCAAATACCACCAATTGACAATCTTGTAAGCAATCCTGCTGAACCTTCTACTGTAAACGTCGATGGTAACATTCCACGAAGGTCATCTATTGACATCTTTGAGTCACTGAATTTAAATATTTTCTTAAAGCAATCGTCATTATCTAACCATGCAATAGCTTTGAAGTTTTCATTCGAATATACATCTGCTTCATTAAATGTAAAACCTGACTTCTTTGCAGAGATGACTTTAAAATCTATTGAGTTTGTTTCAAAATTATATGCTATGGTAACTTCTGAAGGTAATGGATGTCCTTCCGCAGTCAGTTGTTCTCTCACTACCGTTTGAAGCTTTGTGTTAAAAACTTTCATGTCATCTCCTGTGTCTAGGTTCACATACACAGCAACAGGGAAACTATCTTGCTTCTTTGTTTCATCATTATATCTCAAAACATTAAAGTTCTTCAATAATATTGTTCTTCCTGCTGGAATACTTCGAACCTGTCTGATTTCAATAGCTTTCTCACCTCCTACATACTCTACCCAGTGTCTTGGATATTCATAAGTATACTGACTTTCTTGAATTTTGGTTGGTTTCATCATAACGTGTTCATAGTATATCTTTATACTCTTGTCAGTTAGACTCGGTGCTATGTTCTGAATATTTCTGACTTGCATTTTTAATGGAGATAAAATGAAGCATTTAATACATGACGTAGATGAAGACATGAATGAAACTACAGACAAACTTAACTCTTCTCTTATTCTTCCTTTCAGCAAAGATTATGAGTTCTGTTCAAATGGTGTTTATTTCTATTGTGGAAAGATGGGTCAGGTAAAGACATTTAACCTCATTCGTCATATACTCATAACAGAACGTTTAGGAAATGACTCTTACTATGACCAAATCATTATATCAGCAACTTCAGACTCTATGGATCAACAGCGAAAACATTTATGTCAAAAGTTCAAGCCTCTGTCGTTAAAGTTCCAGACAGTGAACTCATTGAATTTCTTCAACGTTACATTCGACGTAAGAGGAAATATTATGCCATCGTAGAGTTATACAGTCAGGAATGCAAAAGACTTCTGAGGAGATGGAAAGAATTATTGACAAACACCACTTACGTCAATACTCAGGAGTTTACGATATGAAACGACTTACAAACTACATTCTGTCAAAACTTTCAAAATACCCCTTCAAAAAATATCCATCAAACACTTTATTAGTTTGTGACGACTTCGCCGGAAAAGGTTTAGTTCAAAGCCTGACTCACCATTAGCTAACATCATTACTAAAGTCAGACATTACCATTTAACTGTAGCAATACTTATGCAAACATGGAGGTTTTTAGCTTTAAACATAAAACGTCTCATAACTGACTTCGTTATCTTTCAAGGTTTCTCACGCTATGATATTGAACTCATTTGGAAACAGTCAGGTATAAAATTACCTTTTGAAGAAATTTGGGAAGCATATAAGTCTCTCATCTCTCCTCGTTCATACCTTGAGATTCATATCATGACTAATACCATTAAAGTCAAAAATATTCCATGGGAACGACCAACATTGTTTTAAAGTTTAACCTTCAATTGACTGATGGTAAACAAATTCCATGCATCTCTGTCGCCATTTCTGTTAATATTTTTGCTGTCATTCATATCATCCACTTCCCCATCCGTTAGCTTTTGAGGATATGCGTTAGAATAGCTGTTCTTAAATGAAGGCTTTTCACCTTTGAGAGCATAAACTCTATAACTTTCTGCATACTTTATGTTTGAACCTCCTGAGCCATCATTGACATAAATTTTTATAGGCTTCCACCCTTTGTTCATGTTCCTGCTTCTTCCCTTAGCTCTTTTGTTCAGTAGTTCTACATCTTTATACACAGCCCTGTCTCAGTGAATTCAACAATATTTTCATTCGTTAGCTTTACATTCAAACCCTTGTCGAGTATATTGTTCATTTCATACATATAAAAGGTTTTTATTCTATATGAAATGAGAAGCAAATCCATCTTAGCTGGTGCCGTTAATGTTCCAATTGAACCAACATCAAATGTTGACTCACGAACGACAAACAATATTGTCATAAAGAACTATAGTTCAGAGTGTTTGAAAGAAAAAGAACCAGAACTTAAGTCGGTGAATTTAAACACAGCTTCAAACGCTAACGCTACATCAGATGTTAAGTTAGAGTATCCACCACTGGACCAAATTCTTTCAAGAGAAGCCAACGACAACCCTTACACAAATGTTCAAACAAATCCTTCAGATAACGTAGACCATTACCTTCTTCAGTTATACCAAACAATTTTACTCAAAGACGATAAGAAGCTTTTGACAAATCTTATAAGTAAGAACCAAATAATTCTAACAAAGGAGGACCTTGAAAATGTTATCTCACGAATAACAGGGAAACAATGTGTCATTGACTATCTCGACCCTGAAATCGAATGCTGTGGTCAAACTCCAATATTCATGAAAATAGGTAACATCCGCATCATTGAAACACCAGGAACTACAGGAGTTGAGTTTAAGTATAAATATTCGAACGAATATACAAAACTTTCAACAGAATATAAACTTTGTTTGAAATATGTTTTAGTAAATTAAAGCAGTCAGGAGGGCTCTTTGAGCCCATCTTGGCGCTTTGCGCCGTCAGTCAAAAAAAATTTCAAGTTAGCAATTTGTAATATCTATCCAAAACTTCTTCAACAGTATCGAACTCATCTTCATAATGCAAACCTAATCTTATTGACTTGGTGCAGTTTTCACTAACACAATATTTTTCTGTTCTCTTGACTGACATAACTAACTCATTTGTTTCATCAAACAGCAACAACCAAAGTTCATGACCTAATACATAACATTTATACTTTATATTTTTAGCTCTGAGTTCTCTTGTAAGCTGTTGCATTTAATATTTTCTAAAAAGTCAACTTCAACAGTCATTCGCACTGGTGCCTTCAGTTCTACAGGCTCTCCTTGAAAGTCAACAAGTCTGAATTGCATGTCTTTCAAATTATGAGGACTAATGCGAACCCATTTACCTAAATGAGTTGCTATGACAGGAACGTTTGGAATGAACATTGAATTGACTGCATAACAGAAGGATTTATATTCTACTGAACCTTTACTATTAACTCCTGAAATACCTGTGACATTAGCTATTTTTGACTCAATGTACAAACAATTGCCATAACATACGTATGGAACAGATTTCATCTCAATCGTTTTGTCAACACTTTTCAAAGGAAATGTCATATGGTATGCTCCCAAAAGAAGTTGTACTCTATGACTCATTCGTGTTATCTTAAACTCCTTCGCATAACTGAACTTCAAAACTCCTGCAATAAGTTTAACATTCATTAAGTTTTCTTCGTTATCCTTGTTTATTGTAGTATTTATGAGGGCATTTAACACTCCAGCTAATGTTTCCATCTTATATTCTACATTATTGTGAAATCTTATTTCATACTTCTTTCCATCTATTTCAAGCTCCATGAAATCTGTTTCATCAGTTATAACGAATGAAGCAATAGTATTAAAGTCAACCATTCTGAATGCAAGCGCTCATTCTGTAGACCTAAGTTTGTTTGTAGCTTTACTATCCCGTATTCGTTTGGGTCTGTACTTTGCAAATAGAACAACATTTTATTCTCATTAAAATATGAGTATAGCTGCATATGCGTATGAAGCTGACAGAGCTAAACGTTTATATTTTGGTCAATACTCTCTCACACTTACTGACAAATATATTGTTATTTCTGATGGAAATACTGAGAAATATATAACATGGAAGGACTATGAAAAGTTTGACCCTATTTTAACTCCATGTACTATGCCGTTTATAAAGGACGGTGAAATTATTGAAAAAGATAATACAACAGTATATAAGTCTGTTCATGAAGCATTAGAATATATGTTGAATTATAATCCCGAACGATTTGACCCAAGCACTACACCATGTGCAATGCCTTTTATTAAGGACGGTGAAATCGTAAGAGTTCCGGATTCAACGGTTTACACAGCTGTTCAAAACAGTTTACAAAACATTTTAGCGAATATCTTTAATTCAGAAACTACAGAAATGAAATTACCATATATAACAGATGCTAAAGAAATTAAATCAAAAACGACAACATTATTTACGTCACTTAATGATTTAATGACTTATATCATTAATATTCCTGCACCAACTACAGCATTTGATCCAAATTCGACAGTTTGCAGTGTACCTTTCATAAATGACAGTTCATTAATTACTTTAAGGGATTCGACAGTAAATGAATCATTAAAGGCGTCATTAATGAAAATCATTGATTTTAACTCATTCATGAATACATATAATTCATTCATTAATGTTTCATACACTTCTAAAGAAGGTGAGCCAAAAACTATAGATAAAGCGGTGTATGAAATAAAAGCACCAATGACGAAATTGAATTCGTTAACTTTTGATGGTGATGGTTCCGTTAACAGCATGACATCCGGAAAAACGATTTTAACGAAAGAATACTTAAAATCTCATGTTAGTGAGTTCGTTGAAATTGAAAAAGAAGGTGGAATTAAGTTCGATCCACTGAATTTCATTTTCAGCTTAGCGAATGCGGGCGTTAGTTTTGCAGAATGGACAACTATACAGAGTGAAATAAATGCAATATGGACGTTTTTGGGGTCAAAAGCGGGAATGGGTGAGCTTGTAAATGCTGCAAGAACATTAGGTGAAACAGGAAATTTTGTAGATGGTTTTAAAAGACTTGTTTCAAATGTTTTAACAAACACAAAGAAATTATTTAGATATACCGTACATAACGGACGGATTTTCGAACAGGTAGCAACAAACCCTCCGGTTATGACTGCGTTGATGATGGTTAGAGACATAAAGCCGCGTAACGACGGGAACGAAGAACATGAACAACAGGATACTGGTCGGGTTATTCGAGACATTAAAAACGTGTATCCTGAAGTTATTGATTTATTTAGAGGAGTTAATGATTCAATTTCAAAACATTCTATAACCCTCGATGAAGAGAATAAATTAACAGATTATATATTCGTCATTATTGCAGAATTAATGAAGAGAATAAATGAAAAAGGAATTGGTGATATCATTAATGTCAGCGATGTAATGATGAAAAGAAATTTTGACTCATTATTTACAAAACCGAAAACAGAATATAGTCTTTATGACGTAATTACCGAATTAATGAAAAAGATTAATGATAATAAGAGTTCTGGCGGAAGAGTTGAATTAGAAGTGAATGATGTTAATGAGAAATTAGCCGAAAAAGCAAACAAAAATGAGCTTTTAGCTCTGAGTGATAAAGTCAAGAACCACGTTCATTATATAACTTCAGACGAACAGATTATAACGGACTACCATGGATATTTAACACAGGATGAACAAATAAGCACTGAAGATGTTAATGAAAGAAGATATAAATTCATTCGTGCTAAAGGTTATGACATAAGCTGTACTGTACAGTATGAAACGGGTAAAGCACCAGAAGCATTTGATTATAACGATGAAATTTATGCTTCATACTTCTTTGTTAACGGTGTATTAGTTGAACCAAGATTTACATTGAGAGTTAAGGCAAAAATAACTTTTGAAGATGCTATTAAAAGTAAAGCTGACAAAGTTGAACTCGAAGCAACGAACAAAGTTTTGAAATCTCATAAACACAACATCTCCGATATAAATGAACTTCAAGCTACATTAGACAGTAAAGCTGACAAGAACCATACACATAAATCCTTCACTACTGTTAGAGCAGACGACATAATATTGAACTATACCCTTGGTTCAAGTGCACCATTAGAGAATCCGAGTACAAGCGTAAAAGATACACTAAACAATTTAGATAACAGTTGCAGGAATATCGAAGGTCATGTCAGAAACTTTGAAACACATGAACTACCAGCAATGTTAGAGAAGAAAGCCGACAAGAACCATACACATAAATCCTTCACTACTGTTAGAGCAGACGACATAATATTGAACTTTGACCTTGGTTCAAGTGCACCATTAGAAAATCCGAGTACAAGCGTAAAAGATACACTAAACTCCTTAAATGGTAAATGTATGAACATTGAATATCATGCCATAAACTTTGAAACATATGAACTACCAGCAATGTTAGATAAGAAAGCCGACAAAACAGAGCTTCAAACATTAAAGACTGAAATACTTCAAACATTATATCCTATAGGCTCTATTTATACGTCAATGAACTCAACAAATCCAGCAAGTGTTTTAGGTTTTGGTGAATGGAAGCAGATTGTAGACAAATTCTTATACTGTGCTAGATATTCAAAGACGGCAGGAGGTTCGAAGAAAATTAAAGAAGCAAACCTTCCACCGCACACTCATACAGGAACTACAAACACAACAGGTAATCATTCACATTCAATAACAAAAAGAGGTTATAGAAATCTTGCAGCAGGTTCGGATAGACAGGGAATGGATAGATATGATATTTCAAGTGACCCAGTAGATTCAAGCACAGGTATTTTCTGTGGAACCACAGGAAATCATTCACACACTTTCACAACAAATCCAACAGGCTCGGGTGAAGATTATATGCCACCATTTATGACTATATTCGCATAGTACCGTCTTGAATAAAATCTTTAACTTTACATAAATGAGCTTGAAAGAAGTATTCAAACAACATCCATGGAGGTCATTTAAGAAGTTCAATGAAGCTGCAAAGAGTTGGGGATTTACTAACAGAGCTGAAGTGAAAAGGTTCTTTGACAAAAATGTTGTACATCAAACAAAAATAAACCCTTACGACTACTTTTTACCAATTTACTCCAACACTCCTGACGCATACCAATTTGACACTCTCATTCAAAGCAGAAAAGGAGGACATAAACCATTCCTCATCTTCATTAATGTTAACACTCGTAAAGCATATGCATATCCAATGAAAAATAAAGGAACTCGTGAAGTGTTAAGAGTTTTACAAAAGTTTGTAGCAGAACATAGCCCAAGTACTTTAACATCAGACCAGGATTCAGCATACCTCAGCAATGAAATCACAGAATTTCTCATTAAGCATAACATAACTCACTACACTACTGAAGACCATAACCATAATATTTTAGGTATCATTAATCGCTTCATAAGAACGCTCAGAGATTTAAATCAAGAGCGAGACTTTACCGAAGAAACAATGAAACATTTTCTCGAAGTATATAATTCCTCAACAAATTCTACAACAGGACATACACCAAATTCAATGACACAACAACAAGAAGAAAAGTATATACAAAAGAAACGAAGTCAAACACAAAATATCAGAAATTCAACACAATTTACTCTCATTCCTGGAACAAAAGTTCGTGTAGTTCTTGACGACAAACCCTTGACAAAGAAACGTTTAAGGTTAAGTCGAAATTATTATATCGTAGACTCTACGCAAGGTAATGGATATCTTATAAAAGCTGCTGACGACTCTATTGCGTTTTACCCTCGACATAAATTAGTTGAAAGTAGTAATGGCAAACTTGCTGAAACCATTGACGAAGCAAAGCGAGGAGTGGTTATTGAAATACTTGGCTACAACATAAACGATGACACTTATAAAGTAAGATATGAAGGAGGCGTTGAAGATGTTATACCATCTAAGAACTTGAGAGAGTCAAAGCCAACACATCTGGGACCATTAGAGCGGGAGTACTGGAAAGACAAAAATAAGCCAGAAAGAATAAGAAAATTCTTCTAAACTTTTTCATTAGATGTAAATCAGACATGAACGAGAACAGTCATGATATCATTAATGGTACCATTTATTTTAACATAAAGACGCAAAGCGGCGGGGCATAGCCCATGAACAAAAATAATTTTTGCTGAATTCAGCACAAAATTCTGAGTAAAATGACATATGGTACGTGTCAAACCGTTGAGTTTTCACAAATTTTAAAAATTGCTGCGGAAAGTTCGTCAAAAAGTGAAGGTTCCCGACGGTTTCAAACCGCCATACTTTACATGAAGATAGTTTACAATGTCAACTAAATATCATGTACGATAGAAACGGTTATGTAAAGTTTACATTTTGTACAAAAATATTGTGAGTAAATGAACTCATTATTTTTGCATCATGACACGAAGTGAAGATTTGCACTTCGTCAAAATGTGATGCAAAACAAGCATTTTATGAGCTTACTAAGGGCGTTATAAATGAATTCAAAGGTATTTACATACATCCTGACCTCGTTCATTTTGTTGCTGAATTCAGCAAAAATAATGTTTAAGGTAGATGGTTAGATCTAACCTCATTTCTACCCTCATTTCTACCCTCATGAATTTCCTTAAGATAGAAAAAAATAAAGTTAATTTTATTTTTATTTATTTTTTTTATTTTTATATAAATATGATTACAAAAATCGAAACATCAGCACTTTCGACAGCATGCACGGCACCAAATTCATTAATCATGAATCCTACGTCAATGTTGGTAGAGATGAAAAACTTCATTCCTTCTTCATATACTTTTGAAACAGAAATACAAAGAATAAAGCAAGAACTTTTAACAAGTAATTTAGACTGTAGTGCGAAAGATGAAACAAATGGAGAGGAGCTATATGAAATGCAAGATATCATAGACCATTTGCCTAAATTACCGGAAGTTCAACAAGAAAAACTAACTATTCCTGAATTCGATGAAATTGAAGTTAAAGTTACTGATTCAGTAGAAATAAAGAAGTTCATACGTAAAGTAAATTATGAATTCCTTGGTTTTCATTGCAACCATAAAGTTATGGACAAAGATTGCGACATGGTATATAAGAACATCTCTGACATATATAAATCTGAGGAGTTTAAGACTTACGATAACTTTGTTTCATTAGCTGCTGAATGTGTGTGGCAGATAAGAGATAAAGACAGAAGAGGCAAAGTATGGAACAAACAGATAAAACCAACTGCTTCAGATTTAAAGAAAACCATTGACGCCTTAGTTGTTCTAGCAGGTCAAATTTCAATGTATAACGCAAAAATGAATCCGCAATGTTCAAAATGTAAAGCAGCAATGAGGAAATATAACTACTCCGTCAAAGAGATAGAACGTATGAGAAACGACTATGCATACTTAAAGAAAGAAGTAGAGAAACCAGCAGAAGATAAAATGGACATGTTGACATTTCTGAACAAAAACTATCCAACAGCTGATGATTTCCTTTTATCTGATGTCAAGAAGAAGTATAAAGAAACTTTCGACATTGTTAAAACTTTTGATATATTAACTGAAGAAATAGAAGCTACAAAAATATTTAAAATTTCACGAATTCATAACGTTTACCATGTAAAACGGTTATAAATAATGAGGGTAGAAATGAGGGTAGATATCAGGTTAGATCTAACCATCTACCCTAAACATTATTTTTGTCTGAAAAATGACCAAATTTCATGAATTTCATTAGTTAGAAAAATAACGCTAATTTTTTCTAAGAAAAATTTTTATTTTGTATGTAAAGACAGTAATGTCAAACATTGAGTTTGAAACAGTTAGAAAGATTGACAATGACACCAAAGTGGTTAGAATTGGTGATTTAAACGTAAGATACTGTAAGAAATACAACAAATATTCTTTGTCAGACATTATATCTCCATCTGGAAAGAAAACAAACGACTGGGTTAGAAATGCTTCAACTCAGAAAATTTTGACAAGAAATCCTGAGCTTATGATATCAGTAAGATTCTATGGAACTACAGCATATCTCATTGACAAAAGTCTTATACCAATAATTCTTCTATGGATTGACCCAGTTGTTGGATATAACTTCATAACATATGGTTCATTCGACTCAGAACGTTGCAGTGAAGGCTTACTTTACATCGTTCAGAAACCGAAGGACTTCAATACAAAGAGATATAAGATAGGAAGAACATATAATATAACTCAAAGATATGACAGTACAGTCAATAGAGTCAAGGTTGTGTTCGTTAATGATATGAGAGCTGCAGAAACAGAACTACTTGAAAAGTTTGAGAAAATGTATGGTGCTCCCATGAAAGGTAAAGAAACTTTCGAAGTAGATGAGATAGATAGTGCTATAAAATTATTTGACGAAGTTGCTGAAAAATACATGTAAAGCGTTTATTTTTGGTCTTTTGTGAAGGTCAGAAAATAACGTTAGAATTTTTTTTATTTATTTTTTTATCCTGTATGTAAGAACAGTAATGTCAACATCAGAGAACACAACAACTGCTATCGTTCATGAAGCCATAAATGAAGAATACGAGTACATACAGTATAACAAACAACTTCGCCTCATTCGTTCGGTCAAAGACGATATGTATCAAATGCAAAGTATAATGAATGCTCTTCGTTCTACAAAGCAAGCATATCATTGGTTTGAAAACCAACAGGCAAAAGAACTTTTAGAAGAATTTCCTCATATGATTGCTTCCCTCGGAAAACCGAGAGAAGAGATTCCGTACGAAAATCGCAAGAATTTGGCTCCTGGTTTGAAAGGTTATTATGTTCATAGACTTTTAGTAAATGCTGTAGCAATGTGGGCTTCACCTCGTTATGCTTGTTATATTTTCATGATGTTAGATGAACTATATAAAGCAGAACGTGGAGAGATGGAAAAGAAACTTCAAGCAAAAGATGAAGTCATTGAATCCAAAGACAAAAGCATACAGAAAAGAATACCACGTTCAGTACCAAAAGGAAAGGAAAAGAACTATAAGTATATGATTTACGCTGAAGAGTTGGAGAAAGAAGAAGATAGAGATATGGTTATGTTGCATTTAGTGAGAAGAAACAACAAGAGCTTTTATGACTTAGCTAAGATATATAAATCTGACAGAAACTGGTTCTATCGTGAAAACTTACCGATTTCAATGACACCGAATGAGCAAATAAAGGAAATTGTCAAAAATACTCTTCCTCAAACACACTATGACATCAAAGGTTGCACAATACTTACATTCAAAGAAGACTTAACATTACTGAAAGAAAAGATAACAGAATATTTCGACAACTTCAAAGAGGAAGAATGAAAACTTACCGATTTCAATGAAAAACATTAACTTTTTGACGAAGTGAAGATTTGCACTTTGTCAAAATTTAATGAAAACTTACCGATTTCAATGAAAAACATTAACTTTTTGACGAAGTGAAGATTTGCACTTTGTCAAAATTTAATGAAAACTTACCGATTTCAATGAAAAACATTAACTTTTTGACGAAGTGAAGATTTGCACTTTGTCAAAATTTAATGAAAAACATTAACGTAAACATTAACGATAAAATTTATTTCCTGGACTGTTGTCAAAATGTCATGTTGTCATCATTTTTAAAAGAAGTTAATTAACCGAGTGACACATGGTGACGTAGTGACACTTTCAGTTATTCAAAAATATATTTTTGCTTAAATAACTTCAGGGTCTATTTCTTCAACCATTTCACTTCCTTCGTCAATGTCAATAGAAGCTTCTTCAACCTTTGGTAAGAACTTTTGTATGACATCTTTGTTCGTTATTGTCTTCAGAGATGAAGGATAATATTTCACATTTGTTTCACCCTTCTTATATTCTTTCTGTTCGGAAAGATTTAAAGCAATACTGAAGAAGTCAATGTTAGAGTTCTTTATGACAGTATAATGAGTATCTTTGACATTCACGAAGAAACTCTTTTGTTTCAAAACTACTGCTAACTCTTGTGAAGTATAACGTTTGCGGTCAATGACGATAGCTAATGGTCTGACATACTGACCGAACTTAGATTCTTTCACAAACTTCTTGTTAAAGATAACATTAACGTTTGCAGCATTATTGAACTCATTCTTGATGGCAGTAGCGAGAGCATTGTATGAAAAGAACTTGCAATCTTGCATGTGTTTCATTAAAATAAAAATATTAAATTATTTTGAAAAATAACTTTAAAAAATCTAATCTAATTTTTTCAAAAAAATATTTTTTTATTTCCTACTAAAGATGTATCGGAAGTTGTCTAAGTTAGAACACTCGGAAATAAAACAACTTCTTACAGAAGCTAACATAGAAGTAGCAAAACATTACGCGACAAACAAAAAAGCACTCGCTGACATCCTCAATGACTACAATGGTGAAATAACTTATGATAGAATTCATGAGTTCATAAAGCCGCAACGCGGCGAGGACGAAGTCCATGCAAGAGCATTTCCTTTAAATGACGTTGCTATTGACTTATATCATAGACGTTCAGTACCTCATGAAGTAAGAAGAGAAATGTTTGACATAACAAATGCGAACGTTGGTCATACTCGTAAAGCTCTTTCGCATGATGTTCGTCAAGAGATGTTTGACATAACAAATGCAAACGTTGGTGAAACACGAAAGAGAGACGACACACTGAAACAACAGAGAAGAGAGATGTTTAAAAGTGCTATAGAACAAGTTCGCAAAGCTAATAATGTCATTCGTTCCATTGACGACAAACCAAAAGAAGGTGAGAGATGGTTAAAGAAAGATGAAGAGAATAGGAAGAGAAATGTGAAGTCAGGCAATAGACTCATTGACTTTAACATCGAAGCTTTAGATGAACCAAACAGAGACTACTTACACAAACATTTCGGTAAGGTTTTCATGAGACTCTTAGAGAAGATTAAAATAAACTCACAACAAAGATGGATGGTATGTTATAAACTTGGTGGAAAGTATGAATGTTCTACGTTAAACCTCAATAATATTGGAACATTACTACATCAGCTCTTGAAGGAGAACTTTATATCAGAGATAGAAGCAAATGCTGCAGGTATTGTTGAAATGCACTATGACTTCTTCTTGACAAACATAAAGAATCTTACTGAAATAAAGATGTATGATTTAACTGAATATGAAGGCTTAACGATGTCAGATGTAAAGAAAGGCAAACCAAAAAAGAGACCATATAGAGATGAAAGCACACTGACAAATGACCAGAAAGCCATTTTGGAAGCTCTTAAGCAAACAGGAAACCAGCACTTATAGAAAGCTTTTGGAAAGATAATGGTGAAAAGAAGTTTTATAAGAAGAGAAGCGGTCAGTTCTGGAAGTATCTTTGCACATTACCTATAAATCTTGAACGCTACCAAATCTTCAATGAACTGAACAAAAAGAACTGCAACACTTATGACAGAGGACAATTGTTTCGTTTATGCTTGCATTCAGGCTGGAGTAAATGAAGAAACTATTGACCACATGAGAGAAGTCATTCGTGTTAGAGACTTTCCTCAAAGTAAAGTACAAGAAATTTCCGATTCAACAGGTATAGCATTTAATGTTACCATTGGTTACTTCAATGACTCCAAAGATAACAGAATAATTCACTACATACCAAAAGAATGTGAAACTGCTCGAACTATTGACTTACTTCTTGTTGAAGACCACTACATGCTAAATGAAAGATTACCAATGACAACATATTTCATTCGCAACTATATAGAAATCTTGAAGGAGTGTGGTGGAATGAACATTGAGAAACAGATGAAGATTTATACAAAGAGAGAAGATAAATATGTAGTTCGTTATGATAGAACACCACCGTTATGGGATGTTATGAAAACATTGTGGGAGTGCAAATATTTCGAACCTATTTCTTATGGAGAACTTTTCACATATACGACTGACTTATATAAACAGAACCTTGCACCATTTAAAGATTTGACATATGCTCCAAAGTATTGTGTACAACTGAAGAAGAAAGCCGAGTCAAAAGAAGTAAATAAAAATAAGTGCAAGTTCATTCCTGAGCACGTTTTCTTTGCTGACTTTGAGTGCAGTACCGATGGCTTTCATAAAGCTTTTAACATATGTTACGACAGTGAAGATGGTTCAGTGAGTGAAAGCATTTGGGGTCAGAATTGTGCAACAGAATTTTTGGAACGACTTCCTGACAAGAGTTTAGTATATTTTCACAACCTCAGCTATGACATAAACTTCATCTTAAGACACATGACAGAAGTGAAAGGAACTCCCATCATTAAAGGTTCACGAACAATGCAAATAACTGGCTTATATAAAGGAAGGGCAATTATTATAAAAGACTCTTACAGTGTTATAAATAAGAAGCTTAAACTATTTCCTGCTATGTTTAACTTACAAACAGGACCGAAAGAAGTATTTCCATACAACTACTACGGCAGTGTTTTGTTAGCAAATGACAACAGAACTGGTGTCATTTCTGAAGCATGTAAGTTTATCCAGGATGCAGATACATTTATGAAAAACATAGATTCCATCAAAGGTTGTAGAATAGATGAAAACCATTTCGACTTAGAAAAATATAGCACGTTTTACTGCAAACAAGATGTAAGAATTTTAAGAGAAGGTTTTGTTAAGTTCCGCAATGACATATTAAAAGAATTTGATTTAAACGTTTATGACTACGTTAGTATTTGTTCAATTGCTAACAAATTATTTGAGAACAGAGTGTACTTCCCGAATGGAAATCTTTATGACCTCTCAAATAAACCAAGAGAATTTATTTCGAGATGCATTCAAGGTGGAAGATGTATGTTGTCAGATAACATGAAACAAAAGAGCAAAAAGAAACTCATTGCTGACTTCGACGCTGTTTCATTATATCCATCCGCTATAGCAAGACTCTATACTTTAGAAGGTATTCCAAAGGTTATGAAGGATGAGATGTTAAGCACAGAGTATCTCATGAGACATTTATTCGATGACGACCAAAAGGAACCCATTGGTGAAAAGTTTATGTCCGGTTTCTTTGTTCTCATTAAGAGTTTGTGACCCTGAACTAAATCCAGAACTTAACGTTCCCAGAAGTTCAAACACTTGCTGTTTAATGTATGTTGACCATATAACATTACAAGACCTCATAAAATATCAAGGTGTCAAATGTGAAGTGTTGCAAGGAAACTATTACGATGGAAACAGAGATATTAGAATAAGAGATGAAGTAAAGAAGTTGTTTGAGTTAAGGTTAAAGTATAAGAAAGAAGGAAATCCTTTGCAAGAAAATATAAAGCTCATTCTGAACAGTATTTATGGCAAAACTATTCTATCTCCTATTGAGTCAAAAATAACCATAGTAAATGACAAAGATGCTATAAGATATGCCATCAGAAACTACAACCATATAGTGAAGTTCGAAGGTTTGGATGGTTCAGATAAAACTATTTTCAAGCTAACGAAAAGCATTTGCAGACACTTTAACTTCTGTCCACTTGGTGTTAACATTCTGTCAATGTCGAAGAGAATAATGTGTGAAGTATTCTGTACTGCTGAGGACTTAGGAATGGACATCTTTTATAGCGATACGGACAGTATGCATCTCTACAATGAAGATATCCCTCGTTTAGCTGAAGAGTTTGAGAAACGTTATGGAAGAGTTCTCATTGGTAAAAACCTTGGTCAATTTCATAGCGACTTTGCAGAAATCACACCTGGAAAACAAAGTTTAGCATACAAGTCAATATTTTGTGGAAAGAAGACTTACATAGACTTACTCACGAATGATTTAAATGAAGTTGCATTTCACTGCAGAATGAAAGGCGTGAAGCAAGATGTTATTGCTTTAACCGCTAATGAAATGTTTCCTGACTCTGTTCAGTGTTTCTATGATGAAGATAAAGGTTTAATGGTTCCGCAAGGAACATATGACAAAGACTCTGAGTTCAGTTTAATGAAACTTTACAAAGCACTTCATGATGGTCAAGAGATTGGATTTGACTTATGTAAGTCTTCTAGTCCTTGCTTTGCTGAAAAGTTTAACTTTTCTATTCAGACTAAGACTTCATTCATAAGAAAGCTTAAGTTCTGAGGTCATGAATGAGAAAAATAATAAGGTCATTTATTTTTGTCAGCAATGAGGTCATTCGTGATAAAAATAAGCCGCTAGCGTAGATTTTACAATACTGCGATGGTAGAGTTTAAGAGTTGTGCTTCAATGTAGAGACAGTCCTTATGGTCTGGAGGTAAGAACACTGGGCAGTTATGGTCATGAGTGGAGAACATGTCTATCCAAAACTCACGATTGAAGCCAGTTAATTTATAGTATTTAGGGTTAGGAAGTGGTGATGTTCTTGTATGACCAATGAACTCATTTTCAACACCCTTACTTAAGTTTGAATATAATATAGCTTGCTTTCTATCCCAAATGCCAGGTGTTACAATCTTTGAAAATTCATTTTTCCTCGGAAGCATTGCATCATAATTGAAAACATTTTTGAAATCATCACTTGGTTCAGAGATTTGAAATCTTATACGTAATGGATTTTCTTTCTCTTTAGCGACTTCATTGAATGGTGAATATATAACAAACTGACAGTCATGTGTTCCATCTTCATTTTCATTAAATTCATAATGAAAGTCTATAAGTTGTGGCTGACTACCTTCTTCTTTCAGTTGTGCAAGAAACTCACGTAAAGGCTGTAAAGTTTGTACTTCAATGTTGAACTTTTTCTCGAACATCTCATTAAATGAAATCATACATTGCAACAATGTTGTATCGTCTTTAAAGTATTTGTATATGTGAATGTTTTGGGCGCTTAAAGACTGTTCGTCATTTTCTATCTCGACTTGAAGTATAAAGTCAACCTTTCTGAAAGCACGTGTTATATACATAGATGTTATGCCAATGTACTTCTCTTCATTTATGTTCACAATCCAGTCTGTTGGAAACTTAAACGTTACTCTGTTCCCCTTTATTTTGACGTCAGGGTTTTCACTACTGAACGCAACAGTTAAAGGTATTTGTCTATACATTTAATTCGGATAAAAATAAACCATTTACTCTTTCTTTGCTTCAGCTTCTTTAGCTTTTGTTCTTCCTTTGCTTTTGCTTCTTCTCTAGCTTTCTTCGCCAGCAAACGTGGGTTCTTTTGTCTTCCAGCAGCTAATGCAGCAAGTTGTTTTTCACTAAGTTTTCTCTTTGGTCTCTCTGGCTTTTGTTCTTGTTTTTGTTCCTTCAGTTCGGATAAAATTTGCTCGCGAATTTCTTTCTTCAATGCTTCAACATCTATGACCCCTTGGGTCTTGTCCATATGACTTGTCTGAGTCATTTGACTGCAGATAAAAAATAAAATTAAAACTTTAACCGATGTAAAATGAGCTTGTCAAAATCAGAGCGAGAGTCTATTATATTAAATGACGCAAGAGGAATACAACATCCTTTCTATTATGTAAGTCAGAGTAAAGATGGTAAAATATACGTAAGAAAAAGAAAGGTTCCATTAGCGAATGCAGAGAGCGACAACATTAAGGTGTATGGCAAGGGTGAAGTCCACGAAGCCCATATAAAACCTTCTATTCAAACTGAAAAGTCAATAGAACAAGAAGAAAAGAAGCCAGATGTTCTTTCAATAACGAACCAAGAGCTTATTGCAAAGTTCGTGAATTTCATTGAAAAGCAAACCGAGTCAAAGAACCCTGACCCACCAGTGAAAGAAGTTGAGACAAAAGAGAATGTACAGTTCATTGAAAATGTCAAAAACAACTTCCACCACGAATGCCAAGAAGAAGAGTGAGAATAATGAAGTAAATAGATATTTTTATCCGAAGTAAATACATGCAGAACGAACAGTTAAACGAATTTACTCCAGCAGAGCATATTCATCAGATTCGCTCATATTTCGATATCATAGACAATGCAGTTCAAATTGGTGACACTAATAGAAAATATTCTGACGCAAAGATTCCATCACAACCTGGAACTGCTCTAAAATAACACATGGGTAACATTCAATCTCTCACCTCCTGGTGAAAATATGTTGGACCTTTACAATACATTCATTACGTATAAAATGGAAGGTCAATTTATTGTAGATAAAGAAATTGGTTCAGGTTCCAATAAAACAAACCCACCAGGATTTTGGATTGGTTTCGATGACGCTTTCTATGCAGTTGCTGGATATCAAATCCTTGCAAATGGTCGTATCGTATATTCTCAAGACAACGCAAGAGAAGAAGCATATATAACTTCAAACTCACAAACTACCGAACAAATAAAGAAAGTAGATGTTTTCTCAAAGACTCGACATGAAGATGTATGGAGTCATTCGGGAACATGCAGAACAGGACAAATTGTTAGTGGTCCAATTACAGCAGGAAAATCATTTGATTTTAAGCTTCGTTTAAGAATTCCTGTTAGAAAGTTTTTACCATTAGAAGCTATAAGATTTATTCCTGCATTTGCTGGTAACATTCAGCTTAAAGTAAAGTTCAGTAGCGACGCATTACAATGCACATCTATATCTGTAAATGATATCATTGCTTTCAATCCAACTCTTAAAGTTGCATTTGATTCAGATTCAAATCCACCGACAAATAAATTTGTTCCATGGAATGAACCATTCACTATGATAACGAAGGCAATAGAAGCTAGTGGAACAGTTACTATTACAACTGTAACCCAGCAACTATTTCGAACAAAGATGGATTTTAATGAATGTTTCATTCATCCAAAGTCATTCTCTTTAGACCCTAACATTTATACAGAACTTGTAGAACATTATACAAACGAGGCTTTGTGTTTTCCTGTTAAAGTTATGGATTGGATTCCTATGGACGGTTCATTCTCAAGAATACAGATAGTTCAAGTGCAACATTTACAGCAGCTTATACGCCTATTAATGTTAAAAGTATTTGGGCACTATTTAGAAAGAAAGACAACTATTATGTTAATTTTGAGAACCCTAAGTTTAAATATCTTCAGCTTTCCATGGGAGCTTATGGAAATATGCCTGCAGAACCTGAAAAATCATATGGACCTGTATTTTATGAAATGGTTGCGAACGCCTGCAATACAAACAATGATATGATAGGATTTAATGAAGATGTTATGAGGTCATTGGTGGATGATGGTAGTGTGGAACATAAATGGGATAGCTATGACAACACACATTTCTTATGTGGTTTTCCAACAGAAGTGGACTTTTGCTTCCAGCAAGGTCAAACATCTACTGCTCCAATAACATACAAATTGTCTGTTAAAGGACCTATTGAACTAGCAACTGAAAATGTACCAAAGCCACTTATTGGATTTATGAGGGATTGTTGCTTTGCCATTCAGGTGCGTGCTAATGGCATCCCCATAATAAGATTAGATGACTATAACTTAGCTACGGACGACAGTGAGGAATAAAGGATGAACGTTTATTTTTGAAGCTTATAAATGAGTTCTTCATCAAGCTCTCGTGAACCTTCACCATCTATGAAACAAACTTTACCAAACGATTATGGAGCACCTATTGAATATTTCTTACGAGCTGCACAATGGCAAAGAGCAGTCTCACCAAGGTTAGGTGTTCCACCAGCTCCTGTCAAAAATAGCATTTGGTCAAGTCCTTATATAAAATATGGTCTCCCACTAGGTTTGCTAGCTACAGCAGGAGCAGTTATGATGTTGAAAAGAAATAAAGCAAATGTTGTAAATAATACTGAAGTAGCTGAAGTTAAACAAACTCCGACACCTTCGCCAAAACCAACGCCTTCACAAGCAAAACCTTCAATGACTCCTGAACCTATGGAAGTACAAACTCCTGTTCAAAAGTCAACTCCTAAACCGACTCCAACATTTAAACCAGAACCTACTCCTCAAATAAATCGTAAAACTCCTGCGTTTCCTTATTGAAAAAATAACGTTATTTTTATTTAATATTAAAATTTTTATTTGATTGAAATGACAAATAAAGTCACTGAAGCAATGAAACAAAAGTTCTTGGTAGAATACATTAAATCAGGAACTATTCCAGAAGGTTTTTACATTCATACTATGAAGGATGGTAGAGTTCAGTTTAGAAAGATAAAGCAACCATTAGATAGAGAAAGTATATTAAGGAAGATTAAACTTCATGAGGACAACATTGCTGAACTTAAGAAGAAGTTAGAAGAGTTGGAGAAAGGAAGAGAGTTATAAAGCAATGAATTCAACAGGGTAGAAAAGAGGTGAAAAAAGAGGTTAGATCTAACCATCTACCCTAAATTTATTTTTGTGCTATGTTTTCATACATGTGAGGGTGATGATATCATTTATTTTTAAGTTTATTTTTAAGTTTATTTTTTATTTTATTTTTATTTTATTTTTATATAAATGACGAAAACTATTGAGATAACAAACTACAACGGTCATGAGTTCAAGAATTTGTTCTTCGTTCCGCGTGAGAATACATTCTATCAGATACGAGGGAGAAAGGGTAAAGTTAGTTTAAGCATTTATGATAGTAAACATAATGGAAAGTTTATACAAGCAATAGATACAAACGGTAAACGTGTTTCATTACATTTGTCAAAACTTACTAACATTTATTTTGACAGTGAATTTGACTCAGACGATTGGAGCGACAGTAGTGATACTGAAGATTATGAGCTGTTATGTGAAGCACAGCAATGGGAGGAGTTGCAATACTTTTGTAAGTGAGAACGTTTATTTTTTACAGTAGTGAAGTCGTTTGTGAAAACGTTAGTGTGAACGTTAGTGAGAACGTTTATTTTTTCATGCACGTGCATTGTGTCGCGGGGAGTTGCCATGGGCAATGACCTGCGCACAATATATAACGTACAGAGAGGTGAGATGAGGTGGTTTATATGATAAATACTTTACGTGACAGAAATAGTTTAAGGTTATTAGAAATATTGCATCTGCGATGTAAAATATACGTTAGCGGTTTTGTAGAGTGTCAGATTGACATATCTTCAGTAAGATGGCGCGCAGTGCCTCAGTACTGAAGATATGTATGCTAACTCCTAATGTCAATTCTGTTAAATCCTGCTGTTATTGCGGATTTATAATCCTGACTTGTCTGGCCATCCTTCATATCTATCGCCTCTACTGGGTATGGCTTCATTTGCTCCAACGGATTTGTTAAGACAAAATCAAGATTGTGGTAATCATGTGTCTTGCCTTCATCGATGGCGACACAAGTGTATGCTTTTTTGGCGAATTCGAGAACTTTAGCAAGGTGTATGCTGTTAGCAATAGCAATCAATCTATTTCGGATCTCATCACGTGTAATAGGCTTATATAATTTGTCAGCAAGTTTTTCCGGATTGATATTAGCTGACTGAAGTTGTTTGTATTTGTTCATCATTTGATATATTGTGAACATAATGAAAATCTTTGCAACATGCGTGAATTCTGGGGATGCAAATGTGTCTAAAGCAAGGTTGAACTTACCGGTAAAAATGGTCATTTCATCGTATACATTCGATAAATCCAACATTGGATCATTTGGCTGTTTACCTTTATTGTAGTAGTCAAGTAATGTTTGCTGCGATAATGCTTCTCCGGCCTGGCATGTGTGAACATGAGTCTTAAGACAGTTTTTATAATGATCCTCCCTTTGTTCTTGCATTGAACACCGGCAAACTACGCCATCAGATCGTGTCACAAGTTCATTGCATTTTACATACCACTTGGGACTACCTTCATGTTTATATCGCATGTAAACATGTTGTTTCGTTTCAAGATCGGGATATGTTGTGAACCCGACTTCTTTCATTAATGAAGTGATTTCTTAAGTTGAACAAAAACAAATTTGATTGAAATTCATACAAAATTTCTTTTTATCATTATTATTTAAGATGCTTTTTTATGTTGAATTGTTAATTTTTTTATTTCCACCCGGGATATTTTGAATTGGGCTAGCCCAATCCCACCTCTCAATTTTCTCTCAATTTGGCAATGGGGATCCCATATAAAATGTATTGTAACAAAATTTTACATGCATAATATAGTACAATTAAACAACATTCTAAAAATATTAAATTCACATCATTTACTTGAAGATTTTATATTTTCAACAAAAATTAATACAATGATTACATTAAATTGAGGAGATTTATAATATTTATTATAAATTAAAATATTATTACTCATTAATTTGTTGAAATTGTTCCATATTAAGTTCTGTCAAAATGTAAGCTATTCAATTCTATCGTCGGAGGAAGTATCACAAATCTATCAATTTTTTTGTAAAAGTATACAAAAACATATGGTGGTCAATTAGTTTATAATAATATAAATATTAAGATTATCCAAAATAAGAAAAACTAGGTTTTGAGAACACTTTTGAGATGATAATCAAAATATTTTGATTGAAAAATAATATATTATTTATCAGATATAGAATGGATTTTTTCAAATTTAAAAATTCTGAAAAATAAACAGTTTTGTAAAGTAAAAAAAATGAACGAAAACTCGAGACCTCGTATTCCAAATGAATGAGTAAGATATATGTATGAAAAACTTGAAAGTGGTGAGTAAGGATGTCAATTTGGAAGAAAAGTGAGAAAATTTTGATTGTGAACTCATCTCTAATATTTTGGCTCCTTAATATATTTGAATCATGATCTTTGAGAAGAGTTCTCAAAAGTATTCAAAAAAGCTATTTTTCCTTGAAATTTAAAAATCCTGTTTATTATATATTACCGAATTCAATTCCCTACATATTTCAAAATATTCTATGAACATTTCAATTTTTGAAAAAAAACATATTTTTCCAAATATATTTATTATCATATTTCTAATAATATTTCCTAAAGCGTCACTTTTTACTTCCTCGACGATTATATCCCTCTCAAAAAATTCAATAGCTTACATTTTGACAGAACTTAATATGTAACAAAATATTGCATTTTAGTGGTAAAAATTAAAATTTAAGTTTACATGGAGAAAAAAATTTTTAAATTCCAAAAAAAATTCAATTGGGATAACGATAGGGACAAAAATTTAGAATCCCCATATGCTTGGGATAAAATCACATGACTACTGGTAAAGTGCAATTCAAATTTTTTTGTAAGGAAGGAATTTTATGGCACCTCGAGCTCTCCCTCTAAAATTTTGAAAGTGTTTTCAAATTTTGGATTTCTTCGGGTATTTCTCTCTTGCTATCCTAAGAGCTTAACCGGTAACTGTCTATAGTAATATATACCCACATATACTAATGTGTATTGTGAATATATAGTATATCCATGGAAAAAAGAATTTTATTGTCTTCAAGTTCAATAAACATTGTGAAATAAAAGGTCTGGATTTGAAAAAGGAATTATCTGTATCATAAGCGTAACTTATATTTGACATAGATCAATTCGGGTTCCATTTTTAATGAATTTGAAATGCTTAGTATTCCAATAAACTCTGTACGTATCTAAAACGTCATAAAGATAGATAGATAAGGATATGTGCATGATCTAGTTATGGTTATTTCTATAAAATACCTCGAAGTGCCAAATAATTGAATAGTTGTAAACAATGTTTAATCCTTTCAAATTTGTTTAATATATAATGCTTAAAATTTTCAGCCTAACAGTCAGCATGAAAGCCAACCAAATCTTCTTTGTGACAGATTTGTCATTTGACATTGAATTGAATGTTTCCACTCCAACTCGCCATCTCAAAGTTTCTACAGAAAGGTTGGCCAGACATTGCATTCTTAGTTGGCCATCACAGTCTATATCAACTTCCAGTTTCTGTTTTTAATGTAGATACTGGAACACTTGAAAAAGACTATACAACAACTGATCTCTATTCTATTGTAGATCAGATATCTCTTGATTTCAATATCGAAAAAGACAGAATTGTTAACTATTTTAGTCGTACAAAGTATGCTTCATTATCAAAGCAAGTTTTCTATAGGATTGATTTTGGCTTACAACAGATTGCAAGAGGTGTAGGTCTTTCAGCTACTGTAATGAAAGTTGTAAAAGCAAATGGTATTTATACCGTCAATTGTCGATATGTTGGTGTTGAAGGATTACTTCAACCAGCTAAGTTTGCTAGACCGGGAGATTTAGTTCCAAATACAGATGCGAGAATTATCGTGCCAGATTACCAACCTCTAACCTCCGAACAAATTATCCAGGTTTATAATATGCTGTACAAAAAGATTGAAGATCAGTTCAATGCTTACAAGGCCATATAAATAAAAATCTAAATTAATCAATCCATCAAATTTTCTCAAAAAAAAATTGGGAATGCTAAATAAATTTCAATGCAAATAATGATTTTTTGACTAACAAATTTGAATAATAGTTGCTGAGGAAATCAATATGTTTGTTAAGAATAAAATCTCGTTTTATTTAAATATTTTGGATTAAACCTTGTATAAATTCAAAATATTTAAATAACTGAATTGAATAATCTATCAGAAAGGAGCGAGGGCTTATTTGAGATGAGATTATTTAAGTATTTCAGAGTAAAGGCAGTCATATCTAACCTAAATTCTGAATTCATATATCGGATAAGTTAGTATCTAGTAATTCGGTACCAAGGGTCTACGCCCCTCGGAACCAAAATTACTAGAATTTACAAAAACCGTTTGACATGTAAAATACATTTGACATTTACAAAAAATAAAAAAAAATAATTTTTTTAAAAAATAAACTTAAAAATTAACGTTAAAATTTTTGACACTTTACAAAATAAAAAAATAATTTTTTAAAAATAAACTTAAAAATAAATTAACTTAAAAATTTTTTAAATTTATTTTTTAATTCTGTATATACCAAATTTTATCATAAATGCTAAATTAATTTTAGAGTATATCTAACCTCATTTCTAACCTCATGAATTTTATCATAAATGCTAAAATTAATTTTAGGGTATATCTAACCCGATATCTAACCTCATTTCTAACCTTGTGAATTTTCTTATAAAGTTGCAATAGTTGAATTCAGTAACTGAGCCTCAAGGAAGAAAACATCCTTTCCGTCTTCGGGTAACACAACGGGGCATTTATGATCGTGTGTAGAATACATATCAATCCAAAACTCTCTATTATTTCCTGATAACTTATAATATTTAATATTTGTTAATGGTGATGATCTAGTATGTCCAATAAATTCATTTTCAACCCCTTTAGCGATATTTGAATATAAGATGACTTGTTTTCTGTCCCATACATTATATGTTATTATTGGTAATAATACTATTCGTTCTTCTCCGGGTTTATAATTAAATACATTCATGAAGTCTTCATTATACTGAGAAATTTTAAAACCTATCCTAAAATCACTTTGTCTCTTTTCTGCTATTTCATTAAACGGTGAGTATATAACAAATGTGCATGTATGTGAATCATCTATTTGTTCAATAAATTCATAATGAAAGTCTATAATTTGTGGTTGAATTCCTTCTTCTTTTAATTTATCAAGATACACATTTAATCCTAAAGCGTTTTTGTTAAATTTCTTTTCGAAAATTTCGTTAAAATCACTCATGCATTCATATAATGTTGTGTCGTCTTTGAAATATTTATATATGTGAATAGTTTGCTTAAATTCTTGAGTTTCGTTTATAACAACAACTTCGAGCTCAAATTCAACTTTTCTAAATCCTCGCGTTATGTACATACTTGATAAACCAATATATTTTTCGTTTATATTAACAGACCAGTCAATAGGTAATTTAAATGTGATTCTATTTCCATTTATTTTAACATTTTCGTCTTCAGAACTGAAAGACTGTTAAAGGTACTTGTCTATACATTTATTACAAACAAAAATATATCATTTATTCTTTCTTCTCAATGGATTCAGCCTTTTCCTTTTCCGCCTTTTCTTTAGCCTCACGTTCTCTTTTTGCTTTCATTCGCGGGTTCTTCTCTCTTCCTGCAGCTAATGCGGTTAACTGCTTTTCACTTAATTTCCTTTTTGGTTTTTGTGGTTTTTCTTCGGCTTTTGGTGTCTTTAGTTCTGTTAATATCTGCTCACGAATTTCTTTTTTGATGGCTTCAATATCTAATCCCTGACTCATTTGATTACCGATAAAAAATTCAAAATTTAAAAATTTTATTTGAATTAAATATGAGCCTATCAAAATCTGAGAGACAATCGATTATATTACATGATGCAAGAGGAATTCAGCATCCATTATATTATGTATCAACAAGTAAAGATGGAAAAATTTATGTAAGAAAAAGAAGAGTTCCATTAACGAATTCAGAAACTGATAAAATTGATATAAAACCTCCCCCATCTGAAACAAAACCAGAAATGAAATCGGAAATGAAATCAGAACCTAAACCGGAACCTAAACCAGATGTACTTTCGATAACGAATCAAGAATTAATAGCTAAATTTGTAAAGCAAACGGAATCAAAAAATCCAGACCCACCAGTAAAAGAACAGGAAACCAAAATTAATGAAGAGTTTGTGAAAAACGTAAAACATGAAATTATTGAACAAAAGAAACAAATTCCTCAACTAAGAAGAAGAGTTAGAATATTAAACTAAATAAATATTTTTATCTAACATAAAACATGCAAAACGAACAGCTTAACGAATTTACACCAGCTGAACATATCCATCAAATTCGTTCATATTTTGATGTAATCGATAATGCAATTAATATTGGTGATACTAATAGAAGATATATCGATTCAAAAATTCCATCACAACCGGGAAGCGCAAAGGATCATAACTGGGTCACATTCAATTTATCTCCGCCAGGTGAAAATATGCTAGACCTTTATAACACATTCCTTACAACTACCTATAAAAGTAAATATATCGTGGATAATGCTATTACTGGCTCATCAATTCCAAATACTAATTCTCCAGGTTTCTTTGGCGTTTTTGATGAATCAATTTACACTATTGAAGCATATCAGTTATTAGCAAATGGAAGACTTATTTATAGTCAGGATAATGCAAGAGAAGAAGCATATATCATATCTAATTCACAGACTACAGAACAAATAAAGAAAGTTGATGATTTCTCAAAAACGAGACATAAAGATGTATGGAAACGTTCTGGAACAGTTCGAACAGGTCAAATTATATCCGGACCTTTAGCTGCAGGAGCTGAAATTGATTTTAACATTAAAACAAAGATTCCATGTCGTAAATTCCTTATTCTAGAAGTTATTAGATTTATTCCTGCTTTTGCAGGCAACATTCAGTTAAAGGTTAAATTTAGTAGCGATGCATTCCAGGTAACAGCACTGCCGGTAGAAGATATTTTAGCTCATAATCCTTCTTTAATCAGTCAGGTAAAAGATAATTATGACCCACCAACTAATAAATTTGTTCCATGGAATGAACCATTCAATATGATAACAGCAGTTTCAAAATCAAATGGTGAAATTACTGTTTCAACAGTTGAACAAAGATTAACGAAGAAATCAGCTGAATTCATTGATTGCTTCATTCATCCTAAAGCATTTTCACTCGATCCAAATATTTACACTGAATTAGTCGATCATTATACATCACAAGCTTTATGTTTTCCAATTAAAGTAATGGACTGGATTCCTATGGACGGTTCGTTCAGTAAAGGTTCACCATCAGCAACTTTCACAGCAGCTTATACACCAATTAACGTTAAAAGCATTTGGGCTTTATTTAGGAAGAATGATAATTATATCGTGAATTTCGAAAATCCTAAATTTGAAACCCTTCAATTATCAATGGGCGCTTATGGAAGTATGCCAGCTGAACCGAAAGCTCTTATGGTCCTGTGTTCTATGAAATGGTTGCTAATGCATGCAATACAAATAACGATATGATAGGATTTAATGAAGATGTGATGAGGTCGTTAATTGATGATGGAAGCGTTAAACATTTATATGAATCATACGATAACACTCATTTCCTCTGTGGATTCCCTACGGAAACTGATTTCACATTTCAACAGGGTCAAACATCAACGGCACCAATTACATATAAATTAGGTGTTAAAGCTGATGATACAAATATAAGCGAAAAATACACTGTCAAACCTTTATTAGGATTTCTTAGAAATGCTTGTTTCGCTATTCAAGTCAGACCAGCTGGCATTCCTGCTGTTAGAATTGATGATTATAATTTAGCTGCTGATGGAGGTGAAGAGTAAAAAAATGTAGTTAATTTTTAATTTTCTGATTTTTTTATTTTTATAAAACGATGGAAAATAACTGGGAAACATTAGTAGCTGATGAAGATTACGAAATAACACAAAATATCCGTATCAAATAAGAAGAAGAAAAACGGAAAGACTGTCAGTGAGTATGAAGAAAAGAATGGATATATAAGATTAACCCTTAACGGTAAAAAATATCTTAAACATAGATTAATAGCTATTCAGTGGATTGATAATCCTGATAGTTTTGGGGAAGTTGACCATTACGATAAAGTTAGAAATAATAATAAGATTGATAATCTACATTGGTGTTCAAGTTCTACAAATAATAGAAATAGAAGTAAAGCAAATGGAGTAGAATATAATTTCGTTGATGAAATCAGTGAAAATTCAATTACTGTTTCACATTATGGAAATCATGAATTTGAGGATTTATTTTACGACATCGATGCAGATTTGTTTTATTATTATAACGGTCGTCAGTATAAAGAACTATACATTAATGAAAACATAAATGGTTCATTATATGTTAACGTTTATGATGTAATAAAAAGAATGCATTATATAGTAAATTCAAACGCTTACATAATTTAATATGAAAAGTTTATTTTTGTCTTGAACGAAAAATATATTATTATATCTTAATGACTTCAGAACTTTAATTTCCTTATGAAAGTATTTTTAGTCGTTATTGAAAAGTTAAACTTCTCTTCAAAACAGGGTGCTGTTGATTTGCATAAATCAAATGCAATTTCCTCATATGAAGGGCTTCATATAATTTCATAACTGAAAACTCACTATCTTTATCATATCTTCCCTGAGGAATCATTAATCCTTTATCTTCATCATAAACGCATTGTACTGCATCAGGAAACATTTCATTTGCTGTTAAAGCTATAATATCTTGTTTTACGCCTTTCATTCTGCAGTGAAATGCAACTTCATTTAAATTATTCGTGAGTAAATCAATGTAAGTCTTCTTTCCACAGAAAATACTTTTATAGGCTAAACTTTGTTTACCTTTTGTGATTTCTGCAAAATCTGAATGAAACTGACCTAAATTCTTTCCTATTAATTCACGACCGTATCTCTTCTTAAATTCCTGAGCTAAACGTGGTATATCCTCATTATACAGGTGCATCGAATCTGTATCCTGGTATGCTATATACAAGCCCATATCCTCAGCAGTGCAAAATACTTCATTCATGATACGTTTCGACATAGATAAGATATTAACACCTAAGGGGCAAAAGTTAAAGTGTCTGCAAATGCTTTTAGTGAGTTTGAAAATAGTTTTATCCGAACCATCTAAACCTTCAAATTTAATAATATGGTTATAATTTCTGATGGCATACCTAACAGCATCTTTATCATCAATGATTTTAATTTTCGACTCTATCGGGGACAAAATAGTTTTTCCATAAATACTGTTCAAAATTAATTTAATATTTTCTTGTAGCGGATTTTCTTCCTTCTTATACTTTAATCTCAATTCAAATAATTTCTTAACTTCATCTCTTATTCTAAAATCTCTTTTTTCATCGTAGTAGTAACCCTGTAATACTTCGCAGCTGATGCTCTGATATTTTATTAAATCCTGCAAAGCTATGTGGTCCACGTACATTAAACAACATGTGTTAGAACTTCTCGGAACAGTGGCTTTGTCCTTGGCTTTGTCCTTGGATTTACCCTTGGTGCTTTTCGCCTTTAGCTCCGGGTTTAATTCTGGATCTACTGTTATAAGTGGAAAGTGCCTTTTAATCTTAATCTCAGTTATTTTTATTAAAACGAAGAAGCCAGAAATGAATTTCTCACTTTCAGGCTCGCCCTGGTCATCATCGAATAAATGTTTTAACAAATATTCAGAGCTTAACATTTCTTTCTTCATAACCTTTGGAATTCCTTCTAAAGTATAAAGTCTCGCGATAGCGGATGGATATAGTGAAACAGCGTCGAAGTCTGCAATGAATTTCTTTTCGCTCTTTTGTTTCTTATTATCAGCTAACATACATCTACCACCTTGAATACAGCGTGAAATAAATTCTCTTGGTTTATTTGAGAGGTCATATAAATTTCCATTGGGAATATACTCTGTTTTCGAAAAGTTTGTTAGCAATTGAACAAATGCTAACGTAATCATAAACGTTTAAATCAAATTCTTTTAATATATCATTTCTGAACTTAACGAAACCTTCTCTTAAAATCCTTACGTCCTGTTTGCAATAAAATGAGCTATATTTTTCTAAATCGAAATGGTTTTCATCTATTCTGCAGTTTTCGATTAAATCTATGTTTTTCATGAACGTTCCAACATCTTTTACAAACTTACACGCTTCAGAAATTACGCCAGTTTTGTTATCATTAACTAATAAAGAACTTGAATAATATTGATACGGAAATACTTCCTTGGGTCCAGTTTGTAAATGAAACATTTCAGGAAATAGTTTAAGCTTCTTATTTATAACAGTGTATGAATCTTTTATAATGATTGCTTTACCTTTATATATTCCCGTTATCTGCATTGTTCTAGAACCCTTAATAATTGGTGTTCCTGATTTCTGTTAAATGTCTTAAAATGAAATTGATATCATAACTGAGTTATGAAAATATACTAAACTCTTATCTGGAATTCTTTCTAAAAATTCTGTTGCACAATTTTGACCCCAAATGCTTTCGCTAATCTTTCCATCTTCACTATCATAACAAATGTTAAACGCTTTATGAACTCCATCAGTGCTACATTCAAAGTCAGCGAAGAAAATGTGTTCAGGAATGAATTTTTGTTTTGATTTATCACTATCTTTACTTTCAGACTTTTTCTTTAACTGAACACAGTATTTAGGAGTATAATTTAAATCTTTAAACGGTGCGAGATTTTGTTTATATAAATCTGTTGCATAAGTGAAAAGTTCACCATAAGATAAAGGTTCAAAGTAATTGCACTCTCTTAATGTTTTCAAAATATCCCATAAAGGAGTTGTTCGTGAAGAATCAATGATAAATCTATTTTCTCTTTTCTTATATATTTTCATTTGACGCTCGATATTCCAGCCGCCTAATGATTTGAGAATTTCGTTATAATTTTTGATAAAATATGTTGTCATGGGTAATCTTTCATTTAACATATAATGGTCTTCGACGAGTAATAAATCTATAGTTTGCCTTATTTCTGTCTTTGATGGCGTATATGTTTTTCTCTTATTATCTTTTGAATTATCGAAATAACCAATGGTAACATTAAACTCTATCCCTGTTGCGTCAGAAATTTCCTGAATCTTACTTTGTGGAAAATCTCTAACTCTAATGACTTCACGCATGTGGTCTACAGTCTGCTCATCAACTCCAGCCTGAATGCAAGCATAAACGAAGCAGTTATCTTCTGTCATCAATTTTGCAGTTCTTTTGTTAAGTTCATTGAAAATTTGATAGCGCTCAAGATTTATAGGTAATTTACAAATATATTTCCAAAACTTACCACTTCTCTTTTTATTCGTTCTCTTTTCATCAAGAATTTCATTCCAAAAATCATCTATATCCTGTTTATCTCCTATATCTTTAAGTCTGTTTAATAATCTTTGCTGACGTGCTGTTAATTTGCTTTCATCTCTTTTTTCTCTCTTCTGTGGCTTACCTTTCTTAATATCGCTCATCGTTAATCCTTCATATTCGGTTAAATCATACATTTTAATTTCTTCGAGGTTCTTAATATTTGTCATAAAGAAATCATAATGTTTTTCAATTATTCCGGCTGCGTTTGCTTCAATCTCTGTTATAAAGTTTTCTTGCTTTAACTGATGAAGTAAAGCTCCGATGTTCTCGATATTCAATGTTGAATTAGTAAATTTACCATCAAGTCTATAACAAATCATCCATTTTTGCTGTGAATTTACTTTTATCTTCTGCAGAAGCCTAATAAACATTTTACCGAAACGTTCATGTAAATACTTTCTGTTTTCTTCATTGAGTTCTTTAATGTTAAAATCTATGATTCTATTTCCTGCTTTAACATTTTTGCGTTTATTATTTTCATCATTCTTTAACCATTTCTCGCCATCAAGAGCTTTATCATCTATAGATTTAATCACTTCGTTTGCTTTGCGTAATTGTGCAATTGCTTTTGCATATTTTACAGCTATATTTTTCTTTTCTTCATCGCTTTTCTTCTTTCTCGTTTCACCTACATCCACATTAGTTATATCATGCATTTCATGCCTTACTTCCTTCGGTACCGCCTTACGCGTCTTTCCTACATCAACATTAGTTATATCATACATTTCTTTTCTTACTTCCTTCGGTACTGCTGTCCTTGTCCTTCCTACATCAACATTCATCATATCATGAATTTCCTGCCTAACTTCCTTCGGTACCGCTTGTTTATGATATAAATTAACCTGAACATCATTTAAAGGAAATGTTTTGTTATTAATGTAATCATTAATTTTCTCGTAAGTGACTACACCTCTGTAATCATTGAGGTATTTAGCTAATGAAGATTTGTTAGTTGCATATCTTTTGCTAACTTCAATGTCAGCATTATTCAATAACTTCTTAATTTCTTCATGGTCTAATCTAGATAGCTTTTTATACATCTTTTATGGAAAATAAAAAAAATATTTTCCGTAAAAAATAAAATTTATTTTTTAAAAAAAAATTCACTCAATAAATTTTATGTTCACATATGCAGCCTCAGAAGTTCGAATAAGATATTTTACAAAATCTTTATATAAAGCCTTTTCATTTATTCTGTGAAATCCGTCAGAAGTTTCATCTAAGTATATTTCTATTGATTGTGGAATTTTCTTTGATTTCTTAACTTTTATAAGAGGTTTTATATTTTGCAAGAATATATCCTTGGAATCTGGTCGATAACCGTTTTTTCTACAAAATTGTATATATTCTTTATATGTAGCCCTTTCATTTATTTTTACTTCTATATATGTAAATAGTGGGGGTTGTAAATAATAGACATCTAAATTGAAAAATCTTCTTTCTGTCATCTTTTCTATCAGATAAAAAAAATATTTTTCCATAAAAATATATTAGGGAAAACCGCAACCACTTTTTTTAATCACGATTTAAATATATAAATCGCGATTTTTTAGAAAAATCGCGACTTTTTTAAAATCGCGTTTTTAATGAATTGCGATTTTATTGTGGTCGCGATTTTTCAAAAAAATCGCGATTTATATGGAAAATCGCGTTATTGGTTCAATCTAAAGATCATTATTTAAAAAGTGAACTAAAAAATATAAATATAAGAATAAAATAAAAATTGTAATAAGAATGTTATAAAAAGTTTTTTAGATTTGAGTTGCCGATAGGCTTGAGCAAATGTATTTTTATTGCTAAAGGTTTTTTTTTGTTAGATTTATGTAATATTTTTTAGTTAAAGGTAAATTATGATTAATTAGTGCAGTAAAGTAAGACTTCAAGAATTTTGACCAGTAAAGTGGGATTGAGGTATTTGTTATCGAGATTGTTTGATTTTAGATCTCTGATTTCGGCAAGTATGCAGAAAAACCATATTGTGAGCAGTCTAAAATGGATAAACAGCCATTCTAGATTCAAAAAATCGTTGTGAATTGCTTTGTTATTGAATTTAATTGCGACCTTTTCGCTTAATGGGGTCCAAAATCATGGTTCCGATTTGTTCTATGTTCGCGATTGATAAAGAAAATCGCGTTTAATTTTGATCACAATTTTCCATAAAAATCGCGATTTTTTTGAAAAATCGCGACCACAATAAAATCGCAATTCATTAAAAAACGCAATTTTTCTAAAAAATCGCGATTTATATATTTAAATCGTGATTAAAAAAGTGGTTGTGGTTTTCCCTAATTTATTTTTTTAAGTTAATTTTTTAAAATAATTTATATTTTTAATTTTAATAAAATAATGTCTGAGTACAAGTTCTATTCATACAATGCTCTCGCTACTGCTGTTAAGGGTGAATTCATAAATGGAAAAAACGTGAACGTTATATTAAATAAAAAGTTTGTGAAAGAATCTAAATACGGTCAGTTTGTTAAACCATACGCTATCATTATTGATAGAAAACGTTACACACCACATGAAATAGCAGTATTACTTAAACAGAAAGGAATATTTGTAAATATCAAAGATACACACTATACAATAATGAAGAACTCTAACGCTGAATTTTTCAGCATCGTTTTAGATTTATCGCAGCCGAAAGAATATAAAAAAGGAGAAATGATAACAAAATATTATCCTTCATCACTGAAGACGATAACGAATAAAAATATAATCAAAAAGCTCCTACCAGTAATTGAGGAAGCAACGATTGAATATGATGAAGAAGGTAGTGAAATAGTTGAAGAAATCGACCCTGAGGCTTTATAAGTTTTGATAAATGTAAAACATAACATTATCAACATGAAAGGAGGAATACATAACATATATATTATTTTTATTTAAATAATGTAAGCGGCTCGTGGCTCAGTGGGATGAACTCGCTCCTCAGAGGTATCGGGGAACTCGTTTCGACTCCAACCGGGTTTAGGTTTTTTCCTTTTATGCATGGAAATTGAGAAGTATTGAATTTGTAGGTACAGAGGATCCATAAATATTCGTTTTGGTGTTAGACCCTAATGAAGAAAAGATGGAATCATAAATTCGTGAATTATAACTTCATGAATCATAAATTCTTGAATTATAACTTCATGAATCATAAATTCGTGAATTATAAATTCGTGAATTATAATTCCATTTATCTCAAAATTGAATACTTGTGAATCATAAATTCTTGAATAATAAATTCGTGAATTATAACTTCATGAATCATAAATTCTTGAATTATAACTTCATGAATGATGTAAAGTCCATGAGGGAACATAAATGAAGAATGTAAGATAAATTAAAGCAAAAATATATTTTTAGTTGAAAAGGGTAGATATAACCCGATTTATACCCTCATTTCTACCCCAGTCATTTTATAAACGTTTCACATGATATACGTTATGAATTCGTGAAATTTTAAATATTTTTGTAGCTTCTATTTCTTCAGTTAATATATCAAAAGTTTTAACGATACCGAAAGTTTCTTTATACTTCTTCTTGACATCAGATAAAAGGAAATCATCAGCTGTGGGATGGTTTTTATTCAGAAATTCTAACATGTTCATTTTATTTTCTGCTGGTTTCTCTGCTTCTTTCTTTAAATCTTCGTAATCGTTTCTCATTCTTTCTATCTCTTTTACTGAATAATTATATTTCCTTATTGCTGCTTTACATTTCGAACACTGAGGATTCATTTTGGCGTTATATTCTGAAACCTTACCTGCTAAAATAACTAAAGCATCAATGGCTTTCTTTAAATCTGAAGCAGTTGGTTTTATCTGTTCATGCCATACTTTACCTCTTCTGTCTTTATCTCTAATCTCCCATACACACATAGCAGCTAATGAAACAAAGTTATCGTAAGTCTTAAACTCCTCAGATTTATAAATATCAGAAATGTTTTTATAAACCATATCACAGTCTTTATCCATAACCTTGTGGTTACAGTGAAAACCCAAAAATTCAGAATTTACTTTACGAATGAATTTCTTAATTTCTGCTGAATCACTAACTTTAACTTCAATTTCATCGAATTCAGGAATAGTTAGTTTCTGTTGCTGTACTTCAGGTAATTTAGGTAAATGGTCTATGATATCTTGCATTTCATATAGCTCCTGTCCATTTGTTTCATCTTTCGCGCTACAGTCTAAATTACTTGTTAAAAGTTCCTGCTTAATTTTTTGTATTTCTGTTTCGAAAGTAAATGAAGAAGGAATGAAGTTTTTCATTTCTACTAACATTGACGTAGGATTCATGACTAATGAATTTGGTGCCGTGCATGCTGTTGAAAGTGCTGATGTTTCGATTTTTGTAATCATATTTATATAAAAATAAAAAAATAAAAATAAAATAAAAACTAACTTTAAAAATTAATGTCTTACATTTTTGAATAATTTATTTTTTTAATTTGTAAGAAATGAATGAATCAAAACCTATTACTTTTGTATTCGAAGTAGAAACGGGGTATCCATTACGTGCAAAACATTATTATGATTCTTATACTGAATTTTGTAAAAAATATAATTATAATCCAGATTCTAAAGAAAAATTCATACAAAATATGAAACCTCATTTTGATGATTGGAATAAAAAATAATTAAAGAAAGCCAGTGAATTAGAAGAAATAGAAAATGATAGTTCATCTGATGAATTTTTCATTTATGAAGATGGTGTTTATAGATTAAATGAAAAGGCTGTATATAATGATTATATACACAGAGAAAAATTTTATAAAAAACTTTTAGAAGGTTTAGAGAGGGATGGATGGACAAAACATAATTAAATAAAAATAAAATAAAAACTAACTTTATTTTTTTATTTCGTGAAAATTCATGAGGGTAGAAATGGGGTTAGATATCGGGTTATATCTACCCTTTTCAACTAAAAATATTTTTGGCGTAAATTTACAGTATTTATGAAAACATTAATATATAAAATTCATGAAAACATTAACGATAAAATATATTTCTGCAGTTCATCCGTTACCTTATTAACTAATTAATTACAGACATAAAATATATTTAGTTCATAAAAATTTTTTGATTAATTTTGGCATATTTTTATCCTTCCAATAATCCCTTTCGAGTTCCGATAAATGTGTAGGGTTCGATTCTCTCAAATTTCTAGAAGGAATTTTATCATCCACACCTCCTTGATAAACGGTTCGATTCTCTCAAATTCAAGAATTTTATCTAACATTGCTAGTAGTTCATATGTTTCAAAGTTTTGAACATGACCTTCGATATTCATACATTTACTATCTAAACTATTAAGAGTATCTTTTACGCTTGTACTTGGATTTTCTAAAGGTGCACTTGAACCAAGGGTATAGTTCAATATTATGTCGTCTGCTCTAACAGTAGTGAAGGATTCATGTGTATGGTTCTTGTCTGCTTTACTATTTAATGTAGCTTGAAGTTCATTTATATCGGAGATATTATGTTTATGAGATTCCAAAACTTTGTTCGTTGCGTCAAGTTCATCTTTGTCAGCTTTATTTTTAATAGCATCTTCAAAAGTTATTTTTGCCTTAACTCTCAACATAAATCTTGGTTCAACTAATACATCGTTAACAAAGAAGTATGAAGCATAAATTTCATCGTTATAATCAAATGCTTCTGGTGCTTTACCTGTTGTATCATAATTTATAACACATCTTGTGTCATAACCTTCAGCACGAATGAATTTATATCTTCTTTCATTAACATCTTCCGTATTCACTTCTTCATCCTGTGTTAAATATCCATGATAATCCGTTATAATCTGTTCATCTGAACTTATATAATGAACATGGTCTTTATCTGCTTTACTATCTAATTTCTCATTAACATCATTCACTTCTAATTCAACTCTTCCGCCAGAACTCTTATTATCATTAATCTTTTTCATTAATTCAGTAATTACGTCATAAAGACTATATTCTGTTTTCGGTTCTGTAAATAATGAGTCAAAATTTCTTTTCATCATTACATCGCTACATTAATGATATCATCAATACCTTTTTCATTTATTCTCTTCATTAGTTCTGCAATAATGACGAATATATAATCTGTTAATTTATTCTCTTCATCAATGGTTATAGAATGATTTGAAATCGAATCATTAACACCTCTAAATAAATCAATAACTTCAGGATATACGTTTTTAATGTCTCGAATAACCTGACCCGTATCCTCTGGTTCTCCTTCTTCTTAGTTTATGTCTCTAGCCATCATCAACGCAGCCATAACCGGAGGGTTTGTTGCTACCTGTTCGAAAATCTGTCCGTTATGTACGGTATATCTAAATAATTTCTTTGTGTTTGTTAAAACATTTGAAACAAGTCTTTTAAAACCATCTACAAAATTTCCCGTTTCACCTAATGTTCTTGCAGCATCTACAAGCTCACCCATTCCCGCTTTTGACCCCAAAAACGTCCATATTGCATTTATTTCACTCTGTATAGTTGTCCATTCTGCAAAACTAACGCCCGCATTCGCTAAGTCGAAAATGAAACCCAGTGGATCTAACTTAATTCCGCCTTCTTTTTCAATTTCAACGAACTCACTAACATGAGATTTTAAATATTCTTTCGTTAAAATCGTTTTCCCTGATGTCATGCTGTTAACGGAACTATCACCGTCAAAAGTTAACGAATTCAATTTCGTCATTGATGCTTTTATTTCATACACCGCTTTATCTACCGTTTTTGGTTCACCTTCTTTAGAAGTGTATGAAACATTAATTAATGAATTATATGAATTCATGAATGAGTTAAAATCAATGATTTTCATTAATGAAGCCTTTAATGATTCATTTACTGTCGAATCCCTTAAAGTAATTAATGAACTGTCATTTATGAAAGGTACACTGCAAACCGTCGAGTTTGGATCAAATGCCGTAGTCGGTGAAGGAGTATTAATTATATAAGTCATTAAATCATTAAGTGATGTAAATAATGTTGTAATTCTTGATTTAATTTCTTTAGCATCTGTTATATACGGTAATTTTATTTCTGTAGTTTCTGAATTAAAGATATTCGCTAAAATGTTTTGTAAACTGTTTTGAACAGTTGTATAAACCGTTGAATTCGGAACCCTTACGATTTCACCATCCTTAATAAAGGGCATTGCACATGGCGTAGTGCTTGGGTCAAATCTTTCGGGATTATAATTCAACATATATTCTAATGCTTCATAAACAGACCTATATACTGTTGTGTTATCTTTTTCAATAATTTCACCATTTTTAATAAAAGGCATTGTACATGGCGTTAATATTGGAATGAATTTTTCATATTCTTTCCATGATATATAATGTTCAGTTTTTCCATCAGTGATAATTAAACATTCATCATTAAATGAAAACGTGTATGAACCGAAAATTAATCTTTTCGCCCTATCAGCTTCATAAGAATATGCGGATATACTCATATTTTTAATTATAATAAAAATGTTGTTCTATTTGCAAAGTACAGACCCTAATGATTACGGGACATTAAAATTACAAACTAACCTTGGTCTTCAGAATGAACCACTAGCTTTCAGAGTTCTTGATTTTAGCACTATCGCTTCATTTGTTATAACAGATACTAACGATTTCATTACATTTGAAATTGATGGTATTAGTACTGAAATTCATTTTAAAGCAAGAAATAAATATGATATTGATACGTTAGAGAAAAAGATTCAGGATCTCATTGATGAAAAATTTAACGGAGCCTTAACTGTGAATTAACTGATTCAGGAATAATAAAATTAGTTCCGAAAAAGAATTTAAAATTACTGATATGACTCATCGAGCACGTTTATTATTAGGTGCTTATCATCAAGAATTACCATTAAAATCTTCTATTGAAAATCAGAAATATATAATTGAAATGAAATCTGCGCCCTACATCTGTTATGGAAACTGTTTACATGTTGAATCAAAAATAAGTACTGTAACAGGAATTTCAGGAGTTAATAATAAAAATGCTGTTATAGAATATAAATCGTTCTGTTACGCCGTTAATTCTGTATTCATGCCTAATTTCCCGATTTTATTAAGACATGAAGGAAAATGGGTTCGAATTCAACCACACCATTTAAAAGATATGACATTTAGATTAGTTGATTTTCAAGGCGAACCAATTGAAATTAAAGCTCCTGTTCAAATGACTATAGAAGTTGATTTTTGGTCTAATATAAGAGCTAATGGACTAGATGATGAACCAGGGATAAAAATATAAATTTTAAATTAATTCGTTAAAACATATTTCAAGCAAAGTTTATATTCCGTTGAAAGTTTTGTGTATTCATTCGAATATTTATATTTAAACTCAACTCCTGTAGTTCCTGGTGTTTCAATTATTCTAATATTACCGATTTTCATGAATACTGGTATTTGACCGCAACATTCGATTTCGGGGTCGAGATAATCAATAACGCACTGTTTCCCTGTTATTCTTGATATAACATTTTCTAAATCCTCCTTTGTTAAAATTATTTGATTCTTACTAATTAGATTTGTCAAAAGCTTCTTATCGTCTTTGAGTAATATTGTTTGATATAAATTAAGGAGGTAATGGTCTACGTTATCTGAAGGATTTGTTTGAATAGTTGAATAAGGGTTAGGGCTCAATGAGCCCGAGAACCCTTTGAGTTCTTCTTGAGCATCACGCGATATGATTGGTTCTAATGGAGGTGGATATTCTAACTTAACTTCACTATTAGCGTTTGCGCTTGAAGCTGTGTTTAAATTTACCGACTTAAGTTCTGGCTCTTTATCTTTCAAGTTCTCAGAACTATAATTTTTGATTATAATATTATTTGTCGTTCTTGAATCAACATTAGATGTAGGTTCAATAGGAACATTCACTGCACCGGCTAAGATGGATTTACTTCTCATTTTCTAGAGAATAAAAATCTTTTATTACTATAAAAATGAATAATATCTTTGATAAAGGTTTAAACGTGAAACTTGAAAATGAAAATTTTGTTGAATTCATTGAAACGGGCGCGGTTTATAAAGATGTTGAGGTGTTAAATAAGAAAGCAAAAGGCAGGAGTAGAAATATGAACATCGATTATAAACCATTTACTATTTACGTAAATGATGGTTCTGGTGGTTCAAACATTAAATATGCAGAAAGTAATAGAGTTTATGCGTTAAAAGGTGAAGCACCATCGATTAAAAACAGTTATTCTAATCTTTATCCTCAAAAACTAACTAATCCAGAAAGTGTGGACATGAATGACACCAAAAATATAAACAGAAATGGTGATAGAGATGGATGGAATCTATTCACAACACCTCATCTAAAAATAAAGCTTTAAAATAATGTTGGTCTTTCCCAAGGTATATTTTTAACATTAATTGTATTAGTCATTATATGAATTTCTAAATATGAACGTGGTGAAATGAGTGATTTATAAGCATCCCAGATTTCATCAAAAGGTAATGTTATACCTGATTGCTTCCAAATTAATTCTATATCGTATTTTGAGAAACCTTGAAATATAACGAAATCAGTAATTAAACGTTTAATATTTAATGCTAAAAACCTCCACGTTTGCATAAGTATTGCAACAGTCATGTGATAATGTCTGACTTTAGTAATTAAATTAGCTAATGGTGAATCTGGTTTTGAAACTAAACCTTTACCAGCGAAATCATCACAAACTAATAAAGTGTTTGATGGATATTTTTTAAAAGTGTATTGCACGAAAACTCAGTTGACTTCACTTATCATGAAAACATTTTTTTCGCAATATTTCATATTTATTTATGCATTTTGAATTATGTTAAATACAATTATTTTAGTTAAATATGTAGGCATATATATTTTTTGGTATTCGAGTGAATATAATTTCGATTTGACTACTTATAATCGATTAAATATAATTGTATTTGGTTCGGTTAAAATATTTTCATTTGATATAGTATAAGTTACTGAATGTATTCTGCAATATATTAGTACATATATCTAACTGTATAATGAGTTTATCTGCCTTTTATATTTAAAATATTACTTAAATGTCATTGGTTTCAAAAATTAGAAGATGTTTTTGATAAAAGAAAAATAATTTATATAATTATATATTGTTTGATTAAAATTGTGTAGATACAATATCAGCGATTGATCAAATTGTTGACTTGAACGTCACAACTTATTAGAAAGCATTTTTAGTCCAAGATTCAAATATGTATAATCAGATGTTATTTAATTAGTGCATAAAACAAAATACCTAACTTAATTCATCTAATTAAACTTGGATTATATTTTGTGATATTCAAGGGCTATATCATAAACAATACCAGATGAAGAAAGACAAAGTTATATTGTAATGTAGCTTATAATTAATCATTTCTTAAGTTTGTTCTCTCTATTATTTTTCTCATGGTTTTTATATAATGGTATGATAAGTGAAGTCAACCGAGTTTTCGTGCAATACAGATATTTTTTAAAAGGATATTTTGAAAGTTTTGAGAGAATGTAGTTTGTCAATCGTTTCATATCATACGTACCATCCTGCTGTCTCAAATGATGTTTATCAATAATTCTTTCCATTTCTTCCGAGGTCTTTTGCATGCCAGATTGTATAAATTCAACTATTGCATAATATTTCTTCTTTCTTCTAATATAACGTTGAAGAAAAGAAATGAGTTCGCTATCTGGAACTTTAATTACTGATGCCTGAACTTTACTCATAAACGTTTTCGCTGTTGAATCCATTGAATCTGAAGTTGCTGATATAATGATTTGGTCATAATATGAATCAGTACCCAGGCGTTCAGTAATTAAAATATGACGTATTAAATTAAAAGTCTTCCCTGAACCCATTTTTCCACAATAGAAATACACACCGTTTGAACAGAACTGATAATCCTTACTGAAAGGAAGAATTAATGAACTATTAAGTTTATCAGATTTTTCATTCATTTTTTCATCGACTTCTTCAAATAAATGTTTCATTTTATTATAATTAAAAATGCAAGTCAGAAATTTTGTTAATACCGTTCCCGGTCTTAATGATAAAAGTATTAAAATCTATTATGAGCACATATTTTCACAACCGTTTAAAATAATCAATGGTGAATACATTTATGAATACCCTAAACACTGGGTTGATTATAACACTGGTGAAAAAGCGATTGAAATAAGACAGATAAAAACCATTCCTGCAGGACGAACCATTGAATTATATAATTTTGGAATAATAAGAGATAATCATCAATATGATTTACAGATTTATATCGATTTAGACACAGGAGATGATATGACAGCATTTAATAAAAAGATTAAATCGGTTCTTATTGAACAGTTAAAAGGTGCCGGATATCCTCAACCTAATGAAGTTGATATGTTTTATAGTTTTGAAACTAATTCAATAGAATTTCGTGTTAATTCAAATTCAAAAGCTGGTTTCATATTTGATTTAAAAGATAGCGCTGTCGGTGATGAGATTGAAAATGTATACACGAATAAAAATTTTCAAGAGATTACAGGAATTAATAATGATGAATGCTTTTATCGATTTGCTCAGTTTGGAGCAGAACAGATAACATTAAATGACCTCCTGGAGTACCTACCAAAATCAATTTCCATTAAAAATGATGATTATTTATTAACATCAATTTCATTTAATGGTGTTTGGTCCAGGGAAGCAGCAATCATTAAGGGTGCACACGAGAGGATCATGTAAACTTCAGAATTTAGAACCTTATTTTTAGGCATTATCTTGGCTACCTATTTAGGCTCGAAAAGCAAAAAATATCAAAAAATACAACTTGACTCCATTATGACCCTTTCATGGAGGTAGTTTTTATCCGCTAGTATTTTCCCTTTGAATCTCTTTACAATTCGAAATCAAATTCAAAACTCAGTAGAAGAAAGGAAGAATCGACTTACTACGGTTGTAATACGAATAAATACATATATTTAATTATTTTTATTTACATAATAATTGTTTGAAGCTCATATTCCAACAAATTTTTAAATAAAAACATTAAAATGTTGAAAATGTTCATTTATTTTAATAGGGTTTTGGCACTTTATTGAGGAATTACTACATACATAGTCGAACTGAACTTGATATTTTGAAATTTAAATTATTTATCAAAATTAAAATTTAACTTGAAATTTATAATTATTTAGTCATATTTTGCATAATTCTAAGTAGATTTTGTAAAAAATCAAGAAAGAAAAATTTTAACGTGCTTTATTTTTTCTTTTTTATAATAATACATATTATTATATAATTAACATATTCATAATGTTTCACCCTTTCAAAAATATAATCCTCCTCCTCTCAAATAAACGTACATACGGGTGGCCTCTTTTTTCAAAAAATTAAAATTTGAAATTTTGGGCTCAAATATTAGAGATTTTTTCAACCTTCAACGATATATGTTGTCTATATCAGACCTCCTTTCTTTTTGATACTTAACATTGTTCCTAAATCTTAGCCGTTAAGGCTGTTCTGAAAATATTTTTTTTCGAAAAAATTCAAAAAAAAATTCTTAAAATTCAAAAATCCCTTAATTCCTGAGGATTTTGGAAAAAAGTTTTTACATGAACATGTGTATATTATATGAAGTATATTGATAAGGTAAAAATCAAATTTTATTGCATATTCATCGAGAAAATAAACTAACGAATCCCTCAAAATTGAGAGGGTAATCCTCCTCCTCTCAAATAAACGTACATACGGGTGCACCCTTAAATCAAGTATAAGTGAATTCGCTGAAGATTCTATTTTATGTTTATCAAACTGTTTATATTCTCCGCCGAAGCATTATTCAATAACTAATTATGTTAATAAATTTAATATAAAATTAGTTGAACCATCGAGCCTAAAAGATATTGTCCTTCCTGATGACAGAAAAGATAGCATTATTATCGAACTCATATTAATCGCTTATTAAAATTTAATTATATATAAATGAGTTCAACGACTGAAAGCGCATGGGCTAGTTTTGATGAAGATCCTAAACCGCGGAACTATAATAGAATTGTAATTCCTGTAGGTCTTTTATTAGCTGCGGGTGCGGTAGCGGGACCATATTTATATAGAAATTTATATAGAACACCGAATAATTCAACTGCCGGGGCTGATCTTGTTCCAGTGGGTCTGAAAAAATCTACACCGATTCAAGCAAGCACGACACAGAAAGCGCAAGGAAAGCAACTCCCACATAGTACGCCCGCAGTTAATTTTCATAAGAATAGAAGAAATTAATTTGTAATAAATGACGTCGTTAAATGTAAAAATAATTTGTGATGATATTACTATCATTGATGATGTAAGTGAGTGTGATAACATAATTGATAGAATTAATGAACTAATAAAGAGGTTCAGTGGTGAAAAAGTCAGAGTTTCATTAACGTTTAGCTCCGATGAAAAATTTTATGAGTTAATCATTATGAGAAATGATTTTAATAAGCATTAAATGGTATTTTCAACACTATCAGCTTTGTATGGAGGTTATAAAGCTATTGACGGTTTAACTGGTGGAGCTGTATCAAAAGCTTTAAAAAATAATGCTGGAATGCTTGTGGGAGCTGCTGCCAGAAAATTAAAATCTGAAAAGTTAAAGAAATTAGGTAACTGGGTTGCTGACCAGTCGCAAAACCTTTTAGGTGAAGATAATGAAATATCTAAGCAGCTAAAAGATTTTAAAGGTCAGTTGAATGGTGAAGAGTTTAAATTAAATTCACTTAAAGAAAAGGAGAAACAGCCAGAATATCCACCAATTGAGGCACCGCCGATTAATTCAGCACCTGCGCCATCACCAGCACCAGCGCCAGTAACTGCAGTCGCACCATATGACCCTGGCGGTTATGGAAGACCTTTTGACCCTAAAACAGGAGGTTCTAATTGGTTCCATTACGGTCGAAGATATATTTTAGCTAAAATCGCAAAAGCAAAGAAACTGTTAAAAACTAAAAAGAAACCAAGAGTTTTAAAGTAATTAAATGGTTAGAGATGTTCTCGAATACCCTGCACCACCTGAAACGCCTAACAATAATGATTTATATAATCGATTGAAAACTTTAGGTAAAGCGTATTTATGGTTTAATTATCCTTATCATATGGCGGCTTATAAAGTTTATAAGCACCATAAAGAAAGTAATAGACCTTCAACCGACCTAGTTGATCCACAGGAATTAAGGAAAAGACGATGATAAAAAATAAAGTTAATTTTAAAAATATTTTTTATTTTTTACTTTTAATAAAATGAGTGCTAAAATTACTGAAGCAACTAAACAAAAATTTTTAGTTGAATACATTAAATCAGGAACTATTCCAGAAGGTTTTTATGTTCATCAAATGAAAGATGGTAGAGTTCAATTTAGAAAAATTAAGCAGCCATTAAATAAAGATGGAATTTTAAGAAAGATTAAATTATATGAAGATAATATAGCAGAACTGAAGAAGAAATTAGAAGAATTCGAAAAATCAGATTAAGCCGCTTAGCGGCGAGATGGACTCAAAGAGTCCTCATGATATAATAAATTTTATTTTTATATAAAATGAATTTTACTAATAAATTATTAATTATTGTTTCATTACTTCTCATCTCCCGTGAAGCTCGTTTATGGTATGAATCTTTAACGTATGTGGATGACACTGATGATGACATCCCTGAATCATGCCAGCATATTTACTGTTGAAAATTCATGAAACCCTACGAGTCAGAGCCGAAAAGCGGCTAGGTTAGAAATGAGGTTAGATATCGGGTTAGATATACCCTAAAATTAATTTTAGCATTTATGATAAAATTTATGAGGTTAGAAATGAGGTTAGATATACTCTAAAAAAAAAAAAGGTATTGGGGCTTCCAGGGCTGCGCCCCTCTAGCCCCCTGAAGATGTTTAGTATAACATGCAGTTTATATAAAATGAGGTTTTTTTGGGGTGTGGGGGCTTCCAGGCACTTCGTGCCTTCTAGCCCCTAAAATTTTTTGAAAGTCGTTGCTGTTGACTTGTTTGTAGAGCACTCAAAATAGTTTAACTTTGTCCGGACAAGTAAGGGTCTATCGTCGCTACGTCACCAGGTCCCTCGGTCCCTCGGTCCCTCGGTTAAACGAACTTCTCTGAAAAAATGAGACAACATGACATTTTGACAACAGTCCAGGAAGTCTTGACAAGATAGAATATGAGAGAGGTCCTATAAACCGGAGAAAGTCTCATATAAACATCTGTCAAAAGCCGCTTTTTAACTTCACTTAAAATGCCACGTAAGCTACGTAAGAATATACGTAAGAGGAAGAGAGCATTGAAACATCCAATAGTAAGACTAACACCACAACAACAGTTGCAACAACAAATGCTGAATGACCCCACTATGTTGCAACAAATGTCAAGCAATCCTATGCTTTTAAACCGAGTTGTTGGTGCACAGAGTGGAGGTTTAAGAGCGGCACTTTTAGCGAAAATGGCAGGCTATGGTGGAGCTGCAGACGGAACAGCCTATAACCCTCAAAGTCAAATGAATTTGAGTTCACTCAAAAATCAAATAACAGATGTCAAAAAGTCAAACATAGACATACAGAAGCAAATAAGTGAAAACGAAAAGAAACTAGAATATGACAGACACACAAAGAAACTCAATGAGTTAAACGTAGAGAAAAAGAAGAAAGAAGAACAACTGAAAGAACTAAGTACAGAGGAATATGCAAAAAAAGTGTCAGAAAAAGCAGCAGAAGTAGCAAAAATGGAACAAGATGTTGTAAATTTGAAAAACCATACTACTCGATATAAAGTACTGAAAGATGAAGAGATAAAACAAAAAGCCCTGAAGACATATATGGATAGCGATGAGTATAAAAAAGAAGTTGAAGCAAATGTAAAGGCAGAAAAACTTTTACAGTTGCAAAACCAAACCGTACAGTATGAAAACTTAGCACAAGAAAGTAAAAATAACGACGCAGCCATGCAAAAGGCAATGAAAAGCTCAGAATATATAAAAGCTAACAATGACTGGTTAGATGCCCAAGCCAACGCTAAAGCAGCCCAACTCATAGGGTCAATAAGGACAAAAATACAAGCGGATGAAGACAGTTCAAATGAAGCTTTAACAAATGCTGACTTTAAGAACGCCTTCGAAGCTCTTCATAGTAAGGTGAAACAAGTGAACGACTTCTCATCTGGAAAGAAACTGAAGTCTGAAGGTTTCGACAAAGAGTTAAAAGAAGTAGCACAAAATATGACGAAAATAACAGATGCAGCAACGAGACAGGCAGTTCAAAGTGCCTATGACGCCGTTAGAGCAACTGTTGTGGAAAGTCAAGAAAAAGAGTTACAACAGACCAAAACAGACCTAGTAAATGCTTTCTTAAAAACGAAAAGTCAGGTAGGACATTACGCTGCAGATGGAACATATGTGCCAGCTGGTGGAACTTATATACCAGCTGTTGGAATTTATATACCACCAAACCCTCCAAGAGAAGCACCTGCACCAGGACTACCTAAAACATTTACATCGTCACATGGACACAGACGCAGGCATGCACCAAAACCAACACAACAACCAACAGTTCAAAACCAGCACAACAACAACAACAACCAACACAACAACCAACACAACAACCAACAGTTCAAAACCCAGCACAGCAACCAACAGTTCAAAACCCTGCACCTGCACAACAACCACAAACAGAGCAAGGACATAAAAGAAGTAGAGAACAAGGAAACCAAGAATTCTTAAAAATGCTTAAAGAAGAGTATGGTTACCCAGATACTATTGACTTTAGTGACAGATATAAAGAAGCTATTCGAAAGTTCAAGGATGGAAATACTGACCCGAACCTATTTAGCTTTATGGCTCTGCACCAAAGGGATATAATCTCAAACCTGGAAAATACAAGCTCGCTAAGGGATATGATTTAATAGCATATCATCCAAATGACATGAACGAATTTACTCCGAGATATTTGATGTCAGAGCTAAATGACAATTAACTCTCTTCATGAAACGCGTAAAAAATAGAGACGGAACGAAAGAAGAAAGGTTTGTGAGTCCGGATGACTTAGAAAGGGAACTTGTTGAAAACGGTCTCGGAATATATGAAATGCCACCAGATGAGGTACAAGAAACTCCACAGGAAGAAGTTCAGATACAACCAGACATGGAAGAAATAGTTCAGCAACAACAGCTAGAAGAGCCTGAAGGAAACGAACAAGTCCTCCTTTGGAAACTAACTTCACAGAACTAGATGAAGATTTGGAACAGCCGAAAAATCTTGACCCTCAACAAGAGTATGCGGAGAATATGGAATATTTCCAAGAGTCTAAAAAAAATTCGGCTGACATAGTAGAAGAATATCGAAAAATGTTTGCCGACATACAAAAGACTCCAACACCAGATGAAAATATTCAGCATAGAATGGAAGTACTGAAAGAAAATGTACACAAATACAACAACCCTTTTTACTTACGAGCATTTAACGTTCAATCTTCGGATGAACTCGGTGAAAATAAAAGGTTAAATTTCAAGAAAACATATAGAAATGAAACATTGTTTAAAGTTCATTCAGAACCTAACCAAGATGGAAACAAACCTACTTTTGTTTCTGCAGACGATGGAACTACAATGAGATGGGGTCATAAAGCTAACCCGGATAGGTGGTTCATAAACTTACAACCACAATTCCAAGAAGTTGTAGACGCAATGGAAGTCAATGGTGAACCAGATATAGCTGGTATTTTAAGCGCGGCTTTAATGCCATTGAAAGATATGAAACATGCAGATATTTTGGACCAGTATGAAATGAACATGGCTGATGGAAATATAACACCTGACGTTCTAGAACATTTATCTCAAAGAACTACACAGAACCATAGAGATGGTATATTTGGTGAAGAGTTTAGAAAGAAAGTTAGGGAGAGAAGGAAGAGAACCTATTGTACATGACCTTGCAAACGAAAGTTTACAAAATGTCATAAAAACTTACTTTGCAGACAATGAACTGAGAAGGGATGAATATTTAAGAAAACTCAAATGGACAGTACCAAATGAAATGTTAGTATTGAAAAACATGTTCCTTGACAAAATAAAACCAACTACAGAAATAAACGACGCAAGACTGAAAGATTGGGTAAAAGCTTTCCCATTCACAAAAGATATAGTTGGTAACATGGAAAGAAAACCAGAATGGCTACAAAAACATATATTTGGAAACGAGCTTATTCCATATGGACAGGCACTGTTTGAAGAGCTTGAACCGGAAACTCAGGAAAGAGTCATGCAAACAATACGCAAAGACTCAAATACAAACTATGACAAACTCTTTCTAGGATATAGGTTACCTGAGATGGGCGACCAGAGCCCAAAGGCAAAAAGGACATGGGAAATTTACAACATACTAGGTGAACATGAGGCAAAGATGCAACAACTTGAAGCAGAGGGCAAGTTACCAAAAGCGACACCAAAGAAGAAGAGAAGAGTAGAACAAAGTGAAAGTAGTGAAGAAGTAACTTCATCTAGTGAAAGTAGTGGCAATGAAGGAAAAAGAAGAGTTAAAAACTCAGTCAGGAAGAAAGTAAAGCTTGGTCCACGTGGGTTCTATTATGACATATAAATCCAACTATTCTATATTTTTACCCATATGAAATGTACGCCGCTCAGAATATAACGCCAACAGTTTTGGATGCCATGAATGGAAATGTTTCCGAATGGTATAACGAATGCGACAATGCCATTAGAAGGTCAGAAATAGTTCCTGGAACTTACGAATATACAACTGCTGTTTCTTATGGAAACGTAGGTGAGTTTGGAGAAGGTTCTTCAACAACAGTAGATATTGCTTGCGACAGGTTTCATATAATTTCTATTGACAACTCTTTCTTATACGTGGAACAAGACATTGAAATAAAACCTTCTGCCAAGTTGTCTGACAAGAAAGGTTGCAATGGAATTTTCTATGTCGGATACCAATATGCTCCAGAAGTTTTCATGGGATATAAGATATATTCTAACTCTGACTTAGTTCAAACAGTAACATGGGCAAACTATGAATGGTTCGCTTTGAGAAACTCAGTACAACCACAAGCTAGAGAACAAACAGACCAGTATGCAACTATTGAGAAAATAAGAAGACTTGACCCTAACGTTCCAGGAGTTTATGTTACCTTTCTGGACAAACTGCAGCAGCAGTAACCAAAGTAAAATTGAAACTTAGAGTTCCTTTGTCATCTTTCCTCATCTTCAGGTTTTTAAGATACTTGCCAAACTGGGCAGGAAAAATTTCTATCGAACTTACTCCAAGCAAAAATAACTTAGTCATTGCACCAACACAAGACCCATTCACTCTTACTGTAGCTGGAACTGGTGGAGCCAAGTTCTGTGACTTTTGCAAAGACAAAGTTGACTTAGACTTTGGTTTCTCAAACCTCAACACTGAAGTAAACTACTACTTCAATGCTGCTGGAACTGCTTGGGACCCAGTTAAGTTCACATGCGAAAAGTTTGAATGCAAGAGAATAGAAAGCAGACTTGCAGTCTATATGTTGGACCCAGATATTTCAAATGCTTTAGCTGCCAAATATATTGCAGTTCCACTTATGTTCCCTATACACCAATATCTGTCAAAGACTTTGCAGGTGAAGTTGGAAACCAAATCCAGGAGCCGCAGGTGCAAGAACAGATATTGCTTTAACAACTGCAATGAAACATGCAGATACTATGTTTGTACTGTTCAGACGAACTATAAATGACTATTCTTGTTTCTACAACCCTGGTATTAAATATCATATAAACATAGATGGCAAATATTATCCAAGAGAAGAATATTCTACAGTTGAGGATATGAGGTCATACAACTTGACATTAGATGCTATGAACTTTAACAACAACTTCACAACAACCATTAACCCTGAAATGCAAAGTTCTATTATGCCATATGTGAAAGTATGGACTCATACAGGAGGTCAAAACACTCAATATACAAATGGAGACCGTTCAAACTTTGGCTTGGCATTCCATTTGCTGACTCAGAAGACTTTATGGGTGGTATTTCAACTGTTGGTACAGTTCAAATACAATATACTGGTGACAGAGACGGTCCAAATGAATTGAAAGCAAAGAAGTTTACAAAACCAATAGCACTTTTCACGGAAGATGCTCTTTTGAAGATTCGTTCGATGAAACCTGCTGGGGCTCCTCAGATTGGCATAACGACAGCTTCCATCGAGCAGATTTTGGCAGCAGGTCAGTAAGTTGTTCTTGAACTGACTTCTCTCCGTCAAATATTGACAGTACGCCAGTTTTGATATAATATTGTATTAAAAACTTACCTTTAGAAATATCGGTCAGTTTGTTGTTATATTTTTGTCTGCTTCAAGAACTTTCACCATTCGGTTATACCAACTTTCTTTGCTTTATGAAAATATTTTGGTTCAGCAAATACTGCTATTCTATAACATTTTCCATTGTTTGTATAAAGAACTATTCTATCAATGAACTTGTATTGTTTGTTTGTGTTGTAAACTTTGTTTCTGCTTCAATTCGAAGAGATACTCAAATACGTCCATCTTTTTATTCTAAGTAAAATGTCATTTCCGAAAAATAGAAGCGTAAGTGTTTCAAAAGGTTTAATGGCGGGTGGCAGATGTGAAGTTAAATTCACCAACTCAAACAAACAGTCAAAGTGTTGTTGTCAATGTCAAAGACAGAGATGTTGAAGTGGGGAAACCATACGAAGACGAAGATGGTATAACAATAGTTCCTGTAAAAGAACAACCAACATACCCTGAAGTTAGCAGAGACTTAAGTTCTGTTGCAGATATTCGAAACGACTACCAACAACTTAAAGACAAACTTAAAACTCAGGAGAAGATTTGTCAGGCTTTGGTATAATGTTAAACTTGGTCGAACACAACCCTGTAAAAGTGAACTCATATGTCATCGCACCTCATGAAATTTTGAAAGAACTATTGAAACTTTTGACAGAGGCAGACGATATAAACATCAAAGAAATAGAACCCGACATTGCTTGCTGTGGTGTTTCATACAATGTCATTGACAAGATATACGTTATGAAAGGAGGTGAAACGTTGAACTTAAAATATAGTTTCCCAGACGTCATAAAAATATTTGACGACCACAACATTTCATTAAATTTTGCTAAGTAAAAATGTCAAAACTTCTTGAAAGATGTTTGAAGAAAAAACAATATAGACTTTATTTCATGTAAAGGACTTTACACACTTTGAACGATATGAAAGACCCTGTTTTGTTTGTTCGTGTAGACAAAGGAAAGTTCTATGTCTTTACAAAATATTTGAACTTCTTAGACAGAGAACTTCAAGAAACGCCATGTGAAAGTTTAGATGAAGTTCTTCTCCACTTTCAGAAAAACTTTTAAATATATGTAAATGGCAGAAGACATAGTGGTTTATACTATTACGACTAAAAACCCTGAGTCATATAATTCTATAACAACAAACTTACAAAGTCCTCAAGGACGATATTGTAAACTGACCTTAAACACGATGACGACTAAAGCCTGTTTTGCTCTTTTGACACCAGAAGACTTTGTTGTTGTGAATGGTAAAAAATACTCCTTTGAAGATACTTACTCAGATATACCACCAACAGGTTTTGTTGACTTATTTAATACTTTAAGGACGGATGTAACATGTGCTGCAACTAGAGCAGGTTTCATTATGTTTGGATGTCCGACTGAGTTTACTATAAACGATATGAGCTATAATACAAAACTTATATCTGGTTTTTACTACCAACAGTTTCCTATAACAGGAAAAGGTGTCATACAAGGAATGTCTGTTCCATTGACTTTAAGTACACCTATTTTATATATTGTTTCAAACTTAGGTTCAAAGTGCTATTCGAATGTCGACAGAAACTACTATGACCAAAAGATACTCATGCGTATAAACAACACTTTCTCTGCTGGTTTGCCTATTGTTCATTCGAATGCAGAGTTTTCAGCTTTAGTAAACTCAAACACTTTAGCAAACATAAACTTAACCTTAGTTGACGCAAACTTTGTTCCTGTAAAACTTTTATGTCCTATGTATTTGTCAATGACGGCAGAAAGTTTCGAATTGGAAGATGCAACTGGTGAAAGTATTGTACTACAAGAACAACTTCAACAACAAATAGCTCAAGAACAACAAATGCAACAAATGGAACAAATGCAACAAATAGCTCAAGAATAAAAAATATTTTTTTTTATTTTATATAAAAAAATGTACAGAATAGACGTTTCAGATTTTTATGACTTCCAAGCGTTCAGAAATATGTGTCCATTTAGAGACTATAACAAAGCAGTCGAGAATTTGAAACGTTTAGTCATTTATGTCGACTCTGCCCCAGAATGTTATGTCATGAAAGAATGGGATGTAGTCTTTAACAAACCAAGAGCGACAATAGTTTCAGAACAAGAATGTAAACAGAAACTTAAGAAAATAAAAGTCGTACAAGTTGGCATGAAGATGTTAGATGCTTGGGATATCTTATTGTCAAAGTTAGAAGATTTTTCAGTTCGTGGTATAAAGTTCTATACACCATCTCCAAACTTCTATTCTATCTTCACTGGATATAAATACGAACAAGTAGAATGGAAAGAAAATGTTATAGAAGCTTGGTTAGACCATGTCAAAGAAATTATATGCAATGGAAACGAAAGAGTCTATGAGTATATCTTATGTTGGTTTGCAAACATCTTACAACATCCAAGTGCTAAAAATGAAACTGCTCTCATCATAATTGGAAAACAAGGAACAGGTAAGAACACTTTCTTTACAGATATCTTTGGCAAACTGTTAGAGGGCTATTCGAACCCGAATATGACAAACTTAGAAAACATCTGCGGTAAATTTAACTCTTCAATAGAGAATATGAAACTTATAGTATGTAACGAACTTCAAAGTATAGATACAACAAAAGTTTTGAACTCAGATGCTTTGAAGAGTCTTATAACAGACAAAGTTGGAGTTGTTGAAAGAAAGTATAGAGACCAAAGAGTTTGTGAAAATGTTGCAAACTTCGTCATGGTTTCAAACAATGCCGTTCCGATGAAGTTAGAAAGTTCTGACAGAAGATATGTAGTTGTCAGAACGTCAGAAGCTCATATGCAAGATACAGAATATTTTGACGACTTAGCAGAAACTTTGACACCTAACTTTTACAACCACTTGTTCTCATATTTCATGACATTAGATATTTCAAAGTTCAATCCAAGACAAATTCCACATACCGAAGAGAGACAAACATTGTTAGAAGCAAACAAGAGTGTATATGAACTGTTCATAGATGAAACTGACTTTGAGTGTTTAGATGAAAGGTCATTGTACGATTCGTATAAACAGTATTGTCAAGAGTATGGTTATATGACAGCGTCTAAACGAACATTCTTGGCAAATGTCAAAAGTCTTTTAGACGTACAGAATGGTGTATATACAAAGAAAAATTTTTCTGAGTAAATTTTAAAAAAAATATTTTTTTTATCCGATAGAAAAGATGACAAAATTCATCTCAGTCAACAAGTACATGTCAGGACTTAAAGAAGAACTAGACCCATTCACATATTTGAATGTTTACTTCTACCATTTTGAAAAGTCTACATTTGACAAAGTTTGGAACATCGAACCAGTTAAGTTTGCTATTGTGACTAAAAATGGTGCGAAATTTGAAGACTTAGACATAGAAGGTTTGTTAACAGTCAAAGAAAGTTTTGACAGAAGGTTCTCAAACCTTAAAGAAGGCAAAGCATACAAACTTGTTATACCTTATGAACCAAAGAAAGCAGACGACTATGAATATTATGAGTCTAAGATAGTTGAAGTTCAAGGTAAATTGGGTAAAAAGATTTTAGAGTCTAAGCCGTGTTTGCTCCTAAAGAGGAAGAGAACATTGACATTGACCCAGAAATGTTCTAAAAATAAAATTTTATTTTTACATGTCAATTTCTTCTCTGGCTCTGGTTCTTTCTTCTCTTCTTCTACTTTCTTTTCTTTCTTTTCTCTCTTCTTCTTTTCTGGTGGAGTTATGTCAAACTTCTCAGAACCATATTTTTGTAAAAGGCTTTGTCATTTAATAGCTCTTCTATTCTGTTTTCTATTTCATTTTCAAGAACAGCGCATGTGTCTTCTTTGCATTCTAAGAAGTTTTGTTGGACTTCATCTCTCCAAGAGGCGTCATCTCTGTCAACAAGTCTGTCATTGACAAATTTTAAGACTTCTCTGCTTAAGGTTTTATGGTTCTTGTCATATTCCCAGAAACAGAACTTTAGAACAAATTCACCTTTCTTGTTTACACTATGTAAGATTTTATGGTCGACAGATGTTTTGCTGTCGAAAAGCTTGTCTCGAATATAGATAGCGAAATCGCTAGACATTTCCTAAAAGATAAAAATTTTAATTTTTCTAAAAATATGTTAGAAAAAAAGTTTGCTGACATTGACAAGAAATTTGAGAATGTTTTAAACAAGAACAAGAGGAAGTTGGAAAATGCTCAGATAAAACCCATACATGACAAGTTCTATTTGCTCAGAATGGTATAACAGGTCTAATTGCACCGCCTGGGTCGGGTAAGACTTTCACTTATCTTAAAATGGCTGCACAACAACAAGAACTAGATGAGAAGAACCCATTCTATGAGTTAGTAGTCATTTGTAGTACTTCTGGTCAATTTGACCAAACCGTCAATTCGTTCAAAGATATTATAAAAAAGTCTAAGTTAGTATGTATAAAAGATACTGAGTTGTTGGATTGGATAAAGAAGTACCAAAGAAGAGTTTTGAAGTACAATGCTATAAATGAGTATGTCAATTCTAAGTTTAAAGACCCAAATGAGGAAATGCAGAGAATATTAGAGAAGAAACACTTCAGAAACAAACAGAAAGAGATAGAATACATTTCGAAGAAATTGCAATCTTACGATTGGAAGACTTACCCTCACAGATGTCTTCTTATCTTAGATGACTTTGCTTCTCATCCTTTGTTAAAGAACAGAGAACAAGACATGTGTCGAATTCTTAAGAAGCTCAGACACTTTAACATTTCAGTTGTCATTTGTGTACAGACAGCAAAGAGTTTAAGTAAGGATGTAAAGAGAATACTTACTGATATTGTACTCTTCCCCGGATTGTCCGAAGACGATTTCATGGAACTTATGAAAGAGTCCATGGCAGGTAAGTTTGACAGACATGAACTATGGGAGAAGTACAAAGTCATACAAGACCCTCATACTTCTTTCAGAATTCACATCTACGCGAACAAAGTTCAAATTGTAAAAAGTCAAGCGTAAAAATGTAAGTGTTTGAGTCTTAGTCTGTTGTGGTGCTGGGGCTGTCGGTTCTTCTGGCTTTGGAATGGACTCGGTTGGTGGTACGTCGGACATTCGTTTGTGTCCTGTCGGATGGAAGGACTTTTCCTGTCGGAAGGAAGGACTTTTCCTGTCGGAAAGAAAAACTTTTCCTGTCGGAAAGAAAAACTTTTCCTGTCGGAAAGAAAAATTTTTCCTGAAGGAAAGAAAAATTTTTCCTGTTGGAAAGAAAAATTTTTCCTGAAGGTCGGCCAAAAAGTTCTCAATTTTCGAAAATTTGAATGGTTTACGGACGGACAACAAGAAAAATTTTTCCTGTTGGAAAGAAAAACTTTTCCTGTCGGAAAGAAAAACTTTTCCTGTCGGAAGGAAGGACCTTTCCTGTCGGAAGGAAGGACTCGGAATGCCAGAAGGAAGGACTCGGAATGTCAGAAGGACTCGGACAAGACAATTTACCATCTAGAGCTACCTGAGCCATCTTTGGTGTCAAGCTTGAAAAATAAATGGTTCATTTACTCTTCCTCTTTGAAGTTATCGAAATACTCTGTTATCTTTTCCTTCAGTAGCGGCAAATCTTCTTTGAATGTAAGTATTGTACAACCTTTCATATCATAGTGTGTTTGAGGTAACGTATCTTGAACTATCTGTTTAACATCTTCATTTGGTGTCATTGAAATCGGTAAGTTTTCGCGATAGAACCAATTTCTGTCAGATTTGTAAATCTTAGCAAGGTCGTAAAAGCTTTTGTTGTTTCTTCTGACTAAATGCAACATAACCATATCTCTGTCTTCTTCATTTTCCATCTCTTCAGTGTAAATCATATACTTATAGTTCTTTTCCTTTCCTTTTGGTACCGAACGTGGTATTCTTTTCTGTATGTTTTTGTCTTTTGCTTCAATGACTTCATCTTTTGCTTGAAGTTTCTTTTCCATCTCTTCACGTTCTTGTCTATGAATTTCATCTAACATCATGAAAATATAACAAGCGTAACGAGGTGAAGCCCACATTGCAACAGCATTTACAAGAAGTCTATGTACATAATATCCTTTCAAACCATTTGGCAAATTTTTACGATTTTCGTACGGAATCTCGTTCCTCGGTTTTTCGAGGAACGCAAACATATGAGGAAATTCTTCTAAAAGTTCTTTTGTCTGTTGGTTTTCAAACCAATGATATGCTTGCTTTGTAGAACGAAGAGCATTCAAAATACTTTGCATTTGGTACATGTCATCTTTGACCGAACGAATGAGACGTAACTGTTTGTTATACTGTATGTACTCGTATTCTTCATTTATATCTTCATGAACGATAGCAGTTGTTGTCTTCTCTGATGTTGACATATCTGTCTTTACATACAAAATAAAAAATAAAATAAAAATAAAATTAGCGTTATTTTCTATCTTGTATAAAAGACCAAAAATAAACGCTTTACATGTATTTTTCAGCAACTTCGTCAAATACTTTTATAGCTTTGTCGATCTCATCTACTTCAAACGTTTCTTTACCTTTCGTGGGAGCACCATACATTTTCTCAAACTTTTCAAGTAGTTCTGTTTCTGCAGCTCTCATATCGTTAACAAACGCAACCTTAACTCTATTGACTATACTGTCATATCTTTGAGTTATATTAAATGTTCTTCCTATCTTATATCTCTTTGTATTGAAGTCCTTCGGTTTCTGAACGATGTAAAGTAAGCCTTCACTGCAACGTTCCGTATCGAATGAACCATATGTTATGAAATTATATCCAACAACTGGGTCAATCCAGAACAAAACTACTGGTATAAGACTTTTGTCGATGAGATATGCTCTTGTTCCATAGAATCTTACCGATATCATCAGCTCAGGATTTTTTGTCAAAATTTTCTGAGTTGAAGCATTTTTAACCCAGTCGTGTGCTTTCTTTCCTTCAGATAGTGTTAAAATGTCTGACAAAGAATATTTTTTGTATTTCTTTGAGTATCTTACGTTTAAATCACCAATTCTAACCACTTTGGTGTCATTGTCTATCTTTTTAACTGTTTCAAACTCAGTGCTTGTCATTTCCTGTTCTTACATACAAAATAAAAAAAAATATTTTAAAAAAACTAGCGTTAATTTTATTTTTTCTATCTTGTATAAAAGATATGATTTCATAGAGTTTTTTTCACGATTTTCATGAGTTTTATGCAAGACCGGAAAAAGTCGGGGTAGCATTTTTTCACTGTTTTCATAGAGTTTTTTTACGATTTTCATGAGTTTTAGGCGACTACGGTTTTCCGTACTCGCAATTTTTTACGATTTTCATGTGTTTTTTCACTGTTTTCATGTGTTTTAGGCGAGTACGGTTTTTTCCCTACTCGCAATTTTTTACTGTTTTCATAGAGTTTTGGCGACCAGGGTTTTTCTCCCACTCGCAATTTTCCACGATTTTCGAATGGAATCTCGACCCTCGGTTTTCCGCGGGTCGCATTTTTTTACGATTTTCGTACGGAATCTCGACCCGCGGTTTTCCACCGGTCGCAAACATATGAGGAAATTCATGAAATTTGGTCATTTTACTCGGCAAAAATATATTTTAGGTGGAACCAGGTCCCTCGGTCCCTCGGTCAAATGAACTTCTCTGAAAAAGTGTGACAACATGACATTTTGACAACAGTCCAGGAAATGAACTTCTTCGTATATGTTTTTTCACGATTTCATCGTCAATGAGCGTAAATCAGACAAAAATATATTTCTACCATAAAGTTTCACAAGCGTTTTACATGGTATATGTTGTGATGGTTCATGACTTTAAACAGTTTTGTAGCTACTATTTCTTCACGAAGGATATCAAAAGTTTTAACAATGCCGAAAGTTTCTTTATATTTCTTCTTGACATCAGATAGAAGGAAATCGTCAGCAGTTGGATAGTTTTTGTTCAGAAATGTCAACATGTCCATTTTATCTTCTGCTGGTTTCTCTGCTTCTTTCTTTAAGTCAGTATAGTCTTTTCGCATACGTTCTATCTCTTTGACGGAGTAGTTATATTTCTTCATTGCTGCTTTACATTTTGAACATTGTGAGTTCATTTTAGCATTGTACATTGAAACCTTACCTGCAAGTATGACTAAGGCGTAAATGGTTTTCTTTAACTCAAAGGCTGCTGGTTTTATTTGTCCGTTCCATACTTTACCTCTTCTATCTTTATCTCTTATCTGCCATACACATTTTGCAACTAACGAAACAAAGTTGTCGTAGGTCTTAAACTCTTCAGATTTGTATATGTCAATGAAATATACCATATCGCAGTCTTTGTGGTTGCAATGAAATCCAAGAAACTCATAGTTTACCTTACGTATGAACTTCTTGGTTTCTACTGAGTCAGTTGGTTTCACTTCTATTTCATCGAATTCAGGAATAGTAAGCTTTTGTTGTTGTATTTCAGGAAGTTTAGGTAGATGGTCAATAATATCCTGCATTTCATAAAGATACTGTTCATTTGTTTCATCTTTCGCACTACAGTCTAAATCTCCTTGGAGAAGTTCTTGCTTTATCTTCTGGATTTCTGTTTCGAAAGTATATGAAGAAGGAATGAAGCTTTTCATCTCTACTAACATAGATGTTGGGTTCATGACTAACGAGTTTGGTGCTGTTGTTGCTAACATGTTCTTACAATAAAAATAAAAAAATATTTTTTAAAAAAACTAAAATATATTTTTGCCGAATTCAAGAGTTTTGTGTGTTTTCTACGGTGGAGCCAAAAGTGGCTCGACCTCAAAACAAGCATTTTGTGAAGAATATACCAACCCGCGGAATTCCGCGGGTTGCTTTTTATACAAAACATATACGAAGAAGTCTCAACAAAACAAGCATTTCGTGAAGAATATACCAACCCGCGGAATTCCGGCGGTTGCTTTTTATACAAAACATTGACGATGAAATCATGACAAAACAAGCATTTCGTGAAGAATATACCAACCCGCGGAATTCCGGCGGGTGCTTTTTATACAAAACATTGACGATGAAAGTCTTGACAAAACAAGCATTTTGTGAAGAATATACCACCTGCCGGAATTCCGGCGGGTGCTTTTTATACAAAACATTGACGATGAAGTTTATTTCCTGTGTTGTTGTCTAAATGTCATGTTGTCACACTTTTTCAGAGAAGTTCGTTTAACCGAGTGACCGAGTGACCTGGTGACGTAGTGACACCTAAAAACCATCTAACCTAAAATATATTTTTGCTGAATTCAATAAAAAAAATGGTTCATTTACTCACAATATTTTTGTACAAAAGGACCCCAAACTTTTAACCTCTCTTCTGCAGCTTCTAATGAAACTTTAGCGAGTTCATATTCTCTAAATTCTCTCTTTAAATCTTCTTGTTCCCATTGGTCTAGTTCGTATGGAGAGTCTCTATAACCAGAACATATCTCACGTTCATGTTCTATTTGTTTTTCATGCATTTTTCTAACTTCTTCTTCGAACAAAGGTTTAGCATTCTCTACTGTATCTTCAAGTTCTTCTTCATCTAATTTCTCATGAACTTTCTTGTCTATGGAGTCCAGAATTTTTCCAACTGCTATGCAATATTTTGGAGAAGCCCACATTGCTATATAGTTTACGAGTCTTGGGTCTACATACGTTCCTCTAACCTGTTTGATTTCATCGGGAATTCCTGCATGAACTGTGTATAAAAAGCAACCCGCGGAATTCCGCGGGTTGGTATATTCTTCACAAAATGCCTTAAAATACTCTTCCCAGGACTTATTTTCCAACAACCTTCTAAAGTCTTTCCTAAACTGCTGACACATATTTGTTGCATTTATATAACCATCCTTGTCTCTACGTAAGACTTCAATACCGTTATAGGTGCCTTTTGTGAATGTTTCGCCATTAGATTTGTTCGTGAACGTTTTTGCTTCGACTGTCATACTGTTCTTACAATAAAAATAAAAAATATTTTTGGCTTAACCGTCGGACATTCGTTTGTGGCTTAACCGTCGGACATTCGTTTGTGGCTTAACCGTCGGACATTCGTTTGTGGCTCGACCTCAAAACAAGCATTTTGTGAAGAATATACCAACCGCCGGAATTCCGGCGGTTGCTTTTTATACAAAATTCAACGGGTGAAAGAATACGATGAAGAAGTCATGACAAAACATGTACGATGAAGAAGTCATGACAAAACATATACGATGAAATCTATTTCCTGTGTTGTTGTCAAAATGTCATGTTGTCACACTTTTTCAGAGAAGTTAAAATGACCGAGGGACCGAGGGACCGAGGGACCTGGTGAGATCTAAAATATATTTTTCAATACTTTTTCAGCACTTTTCCGTAGTTGTATATGAAAGACAATTCGAGATAAAAGTCATAGTACAAAGGTATAATATGCTGCACACCGTTTGTTGTGAACCAGACTTGAAAGTCAGAGAAACTGTTACTAGGTGGTTCGTAGAATTTAGAAGCAAAGTCATAAAAGTCCTTACCGATACACAGAAAACTGTTGTTGCTTGAACTGAAACTTGCATGACACATGACATTTTGAGGGTCAAACACGTTTTTATAAACTGTCAAATCTGTTGGTGGGAGTATAAATTTAAACGGACCGTCAGGTGGCAATGGTTCGTTCTGGTTTAGTAACCGAAGAAATTGTGCCCAAGAACGTTTGTCTACTCCCCAATATAAAAACTCTGTATCTCTTGGAGGGTTAATTTCAATCTTTTGAAATGAAACTGTGGAGTTCATCTTGTCGTATTCTAGTTTTAGATAGTATGTTCCATTTAGTAAAGAGTCGTATTTTTCTTGAAATTCCCAGTAGTATTTGTTTATTTGAGTTTGAAAGTCATTTAGAGTTTTTTCAAGACTTTCGTCTGAACGAATTGTAAAGATTTTCATTTCGTCAAATTTTTCTATTAGACCATCAGAGCCTTTATACTGACCGTGAAAATATACTGCAAACATAAAAGCGTTAGTTCTATTTGAAAACAAAACTCTTCTAAATCCTATTGCCTTTGCATCTGAAGGACTTTGAAGCCAGCGAATTGGATAGTCAAACCTGTAAGTACGGGATGAAATTTCTTCATCTGATATAGTCCTGCCAGCGTTTGTAAAGATATAGTCTAACGGTTTTGTATCTGCTACTTTTGTTCTTTGT